AATCCTAAATTTGTCATTCTCCCACGATTTATATGTTTTTTTTTTATGTTCGCCCACAATTTCACACATTATATGTCATCTGCTGCGGTGCTACAAACTTAGAGTAATGGAAAAATCAACTTCAAGGTTAGTGCTCTTCCCCAGGTATTAAACAAAACAAATGTTTATTGTCGATGATAAATTCTAAGGTTTTTCCACCGGCGGAAAAAGTTTTTCCACGGAAAGACCTGAGCAAATATAATTTTGCTTTTGTATGAGGCATATAATAACTTTTCGGGACGTGCTCTAGTTTTTAAAGAAGCATTTCTGGTTTTATTTCTGTTGTTCTCTCACCAATGAACATTAAAAGTCACTTTCTTCAATAAAAATGTATAAATAATAAAGTACCAATGTTTCCAGAGAAATTAATTGTTCTATAGTTTTGATTCGAAGTTAAGAAATCATTGGTTTGATGATGTATTTTTTTAATCAAATTATTTTTCAATGAAATTTTTGTCAATGAAATTATTATTTGTATAATACATAAATAATTAATTGTTAACTATAATACAAATAATTTGTTTGTATAAAACTAAACTTTTGTAAGTTAACTATACTAAGTTATATTACATAAAAAGTAATACAGGCTTTAATTGTATTTACCTCGCGCTTGTCTCTAAATCAAGTTATACTCGTTTAAATCCCATAGAACTTTTCGATTATTATGTGTTGTTAATATACCTCAGTATCTACATCAAACGGTTATGACTTTTAAATAATTTTAATGTGATAAAATAAACGAAAATGTCAAACTCAAATACTAATATAATCAAGAATTTGCTGTTGTTTTTTATAAACTTGTCAAAAGGTCTGAAAGTCCGGAAGTAAACACCGCCGTAGAGTAAAATATTTAGTAAGATTTTCTTTTAGAGACGTCAAAATGTCGAACCCAGAATTATTGATATAATACAACTTCTTCCATCGCAAGCGTTATTATTCAATTTTGAAAATAAAAGTCTAAAACACTAATTTCTTGATATAATAAAAATGTACATTAATAACTCACTCGTTATGAAAGACCTCGTTAAAGATACTTTTAAAAATATTGTCGTTTACAATTAAAATCAGCAAGTTTTTTCTTACTAAACATAACTAAAAATCCACTATACAAATTGCCGACTATCATAGAGCGAAATTTTAAATACTATAATTATGAAATACGCCCCCCCCCCAAAAAAAAAAATATAGAAAAACGTGTATTCAGTATTGGGATTAGCTGTATTGTATATAAATGTAATTTAATTAATCAACAAATGCTATTTGAATTTAAAAAAGTATATATCATTATTAAATACGTACAATGCGTTTACTAGCTATTATAAATGTGTAAAGAGAAAACTAATTAGGTTTTGAATAGGTAAACGATATATTTTGTTTGTGCAAGTCTGTATACAAACGGAATCATGTTTGATTAGGTAACAACGATTAACGTCATCCAAATGACGTATCTTTTATTGAACTGATGCGTTTGGTTTAATTAAAATTGTCTGTTTGCTTTTAAGTGCGTCATTTATATTTTCATATTTTATTATGTAATATAACTATTACAATACTTTTCGAGCGTGTCGCAATTATTTTTTGCAATAATGTTTTTCCAATAATAAAAAGTTTCGTTTGCAAGAACATTTTTTTTTTGTAAAGATATGCAATCATTGAAATTTTGTATACATAACGGTTGAATAATTGCCTACATAAAGTGCCGTTCGACATACAAACATTATTATTATTAATAATGAGGCGTCTAGTTTCAAAACCGACTAAAAAAAAATTTCGAAAGCGTATTTGTTTTTTAATTGGCCACACTGTATTATATGGTATGTAACTATTATTGAATATTAAATAAACATTACAATTTATAAGTTATAACTAACTCAAACTGTTTTAGGAAAAATTTGGGTTGGTTTTGAAATCTGAAGAAATTATTTGTTATTTGTTTCAAAAATTGCTTTTATCTGGTTTTGAAACTAGGCGTCTCAATTATAATAATTTTTTTTAAAGGCGTAAGTATGAAATTTAATTATTATAAACAACTAATAATCAATAAAAAATAAATAAATAAACGGAAATAATAATACTTTATAATATATAATGTGCATTTTATGCTAAGTCTGTATAAAATGTAAGTATATTTAATTTTAATTTTTAATTAATAAACTAATTAACAATTCAAGTTCAAGAATATAACAATGGCATATCAAATTATTCTACACCAAAATGAGCTAATATTTAAATTTTTTTCATAAAGCGTTCAAGTAAAAACAAATCTACAAAATATCTTTTAATATGTAAATTAAATTTAAGAGAAATCGAAAACGTATAAAAATATTGAAACAAAGGCTAAACAATATTTACAGTTAATTTACAAAATAAATAAACCGTATTATTACTTCCAGATTAATTGATAGTACATTTTTAAGATAAAATGAAAGTACAAATAACAATAATAAATTATAGAAGAATTGTGGTGAAACAAAAATTCTTCGGTGCCATAAATGTCAATAACTTCAATGTAGATAAAAAAAAAAAAGAAAAAATGGAAATTTTTTCGGTTTTTTTTTTTCTTTCTTAAAATTGTTAAAAATCCAATATTTTAACTGCTATTATGATTATTGTGTACTTAAATCGTTAAGATTTTTTTTTTTTTTTAATGACAATCTAATTTTCATTTTGAATCAATAAGGTTTTAATTTGTGTGCAAGACCTAATCCATCCAGACCAAAATTATATGAAATAAAAGTTACGAGAATCTCATTTTTCTGACAAATCTAGCTTAACTTGATTTGACCTTTTATAGTAAAATAATAATAAAATTCAGCTAGTAGAACTCCCAAAATTGTACAAAAAAAAAATAGAAAAACGTATAAATTATTGAGACAACAAAATCCAGGTTAAAAATAATTTAAAATATCTCATTGTAATTGGAGAGATCACTTGTTTATAGGCATGAATAAACTTGAAAGTGATCAAATCATCCAAGAAAACTTCTGATGCCACATGAAGAATAAGGTGATAAACAAATAAGTTTTTTTTTCTTCAACCTTTATTATATAAGTTAGTATACATCATATAATTACTGTAAAATATTTGCTGTACATTGTTTATAATACTACGTCATTCAATATAATTTTATAGCTTAGCTCAAAGCTAAACAAACTTGGTAAATTAGGTCATTTAGTAAAAAGTATGTTAAACTAAGACCATAGACCAAATATATATTATATATATATATATATATATATATATATATATGTGTGTATATACATTTAATCTATGCTAGGACGTTAAAACTTTCAAAGTAGTACATGCTAGTAGTATGTTAATTCCCAGAAGATACTTAATAGTAAATAGTTATTAAAGTTTGACAACGTCACTGCATGAGATATTTATCAACAGTAATATTTGTCTTATTGAAACTAAATAATTCATTTTCCCATTATAAATCAATACTAAGCAGTATTTTTCTGAGCATACATTTTTTTTAAGAAAAATATTTGTACTTAATTAAAATAAATTGTTTTGGTTTATTATGATTAAATCGTAATATATAATATCTCAACAAAAATATTGTTGTTAAATACAAAAATAAGCCATCAATCAAAGTAGGCACATTGTCAGAAAACTGTTTTGATCACATAGAAGTTTATACCTGGGATGTACAAAAGCAGAAATGGTCTGGTTTTTTCAATATTATAATGTAACACTAAACCATTATATTGAATAACATTAATACTTCCAATGCTTCTTTTGAATTTAAACGAATATTACATTTAAATTTATTTACATTTTATACAGTTATAACACAAAGTTTTAGTATACTCAAACTATTGGTGAATAAACGTCGTCATAATACCTATCGAAAGTTGTTTTATCAATTACTGTCATTGTGAGACTAAAGACCCTTCTCGTTACCGCCAATAAAAACTTAATTATCTTAACGGTTAATAATTATAAAATGATACTCTATTTGGGCAGTATAAAACAAATATTTCTGTTATGTTGTATATGTTTTAAACTCGAATTGACAAGTGAAAAGGTCTCGATATTATGTATTTACATAGCATGATGTTTCTTTTTAGAATGTTTCCCCGATGTAGCCGTGCGTACCGCACATCTAATAATTATCATTAGACATAATGAGCAGATTACGGGTCATTACATATTTTGTGGGTTCGAGAATAACCGATGACGGTTTTTGGTGCTCATAACATTAGATCAATTGAAAAAAATCACAAGTCTCGAAAAACCGAGATGAAAGAAATGTCCTCAAAACCGATGCTTTATACAGTGTTTGATAATAAAATAAATAAATTATATATTATACTTATAACCATCGCACTCGGTACGGTACGGTTAGTACACAATCGGCATCAATTTATTATTATCGGCGTTCAATTAATTGATTTGATTGTTATTACCGCTTAATCGCTCTTCTGTAATATTTAAATCCATTAGGCGAATTATTACAAAAGGTTCTTCGAGAACTTTTGTGTATTTTGTCAATTTGGTGTATTTCGTTTCGCATCCGATTTATAATTTATAATTTATCTTCACGCAAATACCTACCTTTTTTTTTCTCTTTGTGATAAGCTTTTTTATTGATTTAAGATAAAAGTTCACTTGTTACCGTATTATTATTATTAGTATTTCATTTTAACACCGTCGGAACAGTAGATATTCTTGGGCTGTCGAAAAATTCCAATAACTTCGTGTCATACCCTTTTCAATATAATAATTAACCTATACCTGTATCGACGTTGTCCCGGGTCAACTATAATAATAATAATAATACACGATAATAACAATAACCACGCATACGTTAAATACCTGTGTTTGCCTTGTTAGGTATTCATATATTATGTAGGTACACGACACGGTAGTACATACATTATCAAAAAAAAAAAAGGTTTACATATATTTAATATTAGATATTACAAATAGCTTATCGACGGAAACAAACTTACGGACGCTTTTTTTAATATTTCAGACCGCCTCGTCTCTTGGCGGACACGCGAAAAGGCACCTTTTACCGGCGGGCCGACATGAATATATTTTTTAATTTTTTTTTTATGTCAATATTAATACAATATAATATGAAAACCACCGTTCGAAGACGACACCGGACGGCATACACACGGTCGGACACAACCGATCGGTCACGAACGGCAGTTCCGTGGATATATATTGGTCGTAACGCGGGGTATTTTTTTTTTCAAATATTATATTGTATTTTTTTAATCAAACACATACGGCATATGTTAAGTACGTACCCGTTTGTTTGTTTTTTCGCGTAACGACGACCCGTGAAAGCGGTGATGACTGGCGACGGATATTTGTTGCCCGACGACTGCGGTACCGTGTCTGACTGAACGACGGGGTAGACCGTGTACGCGCGGCCGTACTATCAGCGAACTCTATTCGGTGCGACACGCGGTGGACGGCGGCGATAACGGCCGTGGGGCGAAAAAGAGCCAGAAATAAGGGGAGAGTAAGGGCAAGGGTTCGTCGTTTCCGCATTTGGACGAGACAAATGTGTACGTGAAAAACAATAGCCATCTCGAAGAACCTGCGACCCGATCAGCAGAGCAGGCCCGACCGTGTAAAAATGAATGTGTTGCTGCTAAGGCCGGCCAAAGAGATTACGGCTATTTTAGTTGGCTCAGGCTCCTTTTAATTGGAAAGGCAAAACCCGTGTTTTTATTGCACCCGGGTAAACTCAAAGCCACCGAACGCCTCGGTCTATAGCCGTGCTGCTGTGTTATTGTATACGGGTCGTGCAGCTCTCGGTGTGTTTAGTCTCACCGCCGGCCGGAATGCGTTGTTGGTATTTTGTTGGAAAGCCGCACGTAAAACGACGTCAATCGCAATATCCTGCCACGGAGAGAACACACGGGTTTCCCAACGTTTATACTAACCGAGAGAGAGAGAGGAAATCAAACGTCCGGGATTATGTGGGTAAAAAGGGGGAAAAAATATAGCTATACATGTATATATAGCGCATATAATTCTATTTCGGAATTTATAGGCCATACGTTACCGCCTTTTTTTTCGGCGTGACGTTGAAAACACGGTATTCATAAATTATGCAACTTTAAGTGTTATTCTCCTTTAGGTAACAACTACAAGAACGAATTATAAATATATTCTCGACTTCGCGTCGAGGGTACGATCACAGAATAGACGCTAGCAGAAGGGTAACTTTCATTGTAAACAAAAATGTGACAGCCATTTTGTAAAATTTATTTAGCATTATGTAATTGTTAACATTATAGTGGTGTAGATTTAAGACGATGGCCGCCGCATTTTTGTGCGATAACTTTTCCCACAAAAAGATACTTGTCACTGGTAAGTATGTTCCCGTGTTTATTTTTATCAATATCCGGGGCATGGTATGTTATAGAGAGCGACTTTTATTCAGCACCATTTTTAATGTTTTTTATTACCCAATAATTATCATACTATAGTGTTATATAGTGTAACATAGTACAATATCCGTAAGACGATTTTACCGCGTGTATCTAAAGAGTTAAATGAAACCATTTTTCGATTTAAAAAGAGTGGGATGTTTTACTAGTAAAAACCATTTGACGGCGTTACCGCAGCCATTTCAATGGTCACATACTGCGAACCTCTATACACTCGGATAGTACTTCACAAAAGCATAAGTTGTTAAAGTTTACCACTTTCTTCTAGAAAGTGTAGTAATGTCTACAGTCACTCCAATTGCCCATTAAAATAGCGGAACGGGCACTACATATAGGTATAGAGTTCTTTATTTTATTTTTCACTAGAAAAAAAACATTTGTACATAGCCAGATAGCCTACTCTTCTATAGTGTTCACTCACTTCATGGCATTATTATTTTAATTATACTTCATGGCAGATTTTTTATTAAAAATTATCAGGATCCCTATCATTGGCGTTACGACAAATAGGCGTTTTTTTAAGCTATTATTAAATAGAGGCATATTAATAAACAAGTGGCAAAGTGGCGTATAAATAAGCATCTAATTTTTAGGTTTTTAAAAAATGTGTCCACTCCCTTAGATTACCACTAGAACTGAATACCCACTAGTCTAAAAGTAATAACCGACAACTTATCTATTATTTATTATAAAGTTAAACAATCATGCCAAAGTTCAAGTTTGTAAAATTTGTACATTATTAAGGATTTTTCCTTAGGTCTTTTTTTTAAAAAAAGTCGACTTTTTTTCAGTTTTTATAACACCTTTGGCGCATGATATTATCTGTTCATGTAACACAATCGTATTTATTCATAATATGTGTAAAATCCTCTAGACTTCTAGACTGTTGTGTATTGTGTATGCAGATTGCAGACACATAAAAATCACACGACTGTCAAAGTAATATACATTCTCAGTTTTTCGCCGACGCTAAAATGTAAGTATTTTGACAATAGTGATAGCAACAAATTTCCACTTTCCTACCAACGTGTGAAAATGTATTTGAATTTATAAAGGCACTGGAATTCGTAAAAATTCTGTTATTGTAATAAACACTATTCCAGGTAAATAGTCTCAAGGAAACTATAAAACTACCTCGCATTTCCTTTTTATATTTTTCTTTATAGGTTCAAAAATGTATATGTAATTTATATGGATGAGATGTATGTATTCAGTGTTCGTGTATAGAAACAGTTTAGTAGTTGCGTTGAAGCCTTAACTGAATAAAAAACCACAATAATAATAATATTAATAATAAAACAAAACAATTTAGTTAGTATGTTTACACGCCCGGGTAAAATTGAATTAGAATAATTCGCATTTGTCTAATTCATATTTTTTATATTTAATAAAAAATGTAAAAATTGATAGATTTTACCTATATTTTATTACATCCTAACTCTTTTATCCGTTTAATGCATTTCTAACTCTCGGAGTTAGTCTTAATCAGAATTTCAAATGTGAATTAATGTCAACTGATCAGAATTATTTGAAATAAATTATAGTAAACTCATTTAAGAAGTTTTTTCGTGGTTTTTAAATTTTATAGCTGACTAATTCAGATTAAGTTGAACTGATTTTAACTACACATGTAAACGTAGTACATGTATGTATGTTCTAACAATGTTATACTTTTATCTTTTAAATTTTATTAAGCTTACATTTGACACGTATGCAATACGTAATAAAACTACGACTATAACTTTTTTTTTATTAACAAAGATGGTTAAGATTAGTATTAGTATTACATTGTTGTTTATTGTTAAAAGTGCAGGTCGCATATGACTTCATTCTTACAATAATTATCGAACTAGACAGTAGACAATAATAAAAATAATAACAATTCTGACGAACCATTGTGTGCAACATATTTTAAAATAGTTATATTTCAAACCGTTCTTTCTCGTACTTTAGTAATCTTTAAATTGAAATATAGCAAAGTCGATAAAAATGGTGGCTAAAATCGAACCAAAAATGTAATGATATGTTTTATCATAGTCATAGACACCTTATTAAATTGGTTAATAAAATGGAACCCGAGTTCAATGTTCTGTGTTCAAAGTATTATTATAACGCGTTATAGTCATAAAACAACAATAACCATAAAGCTAACCCGTCAGATTTATAAAACTGTAAACGCAATTTGAAGATGAAACAAACATATTATTTTCTGCACCAAGCTGAAATATTTTTCATTTTAATTAATCGCTCCCGTACAATTTGTCATTTCTCGCTATTGTTCTACAACCCATAAACAAAATATATTAAGTGAGTCCTATTTAGTTATTAATGTGTAAAATTAGTTAACGTAACCGGTCGGAGGTGACACGTTTGTAATTGATGATACGACAATATTGTAATGTTAATCTTGTTCAACAATAGCACACATGATAATAATATGTCCACGTTCCGGCAATACACTAAACTTGCATTAAAATTTTAATTCACAACGATAAACCTGTTAATTAAAACCAATATAGAGGCAACAAAATCCACGTATCTATCATTCTTGCGAAATTAATATATTGTGCAAACAACGCAAGCGCAATTTAATTCATACATAACAATAAAAAGTTTCTTCAAAAACGTATACAATACAAATTGAAGACTGATTATTGTAATGTACCTAGTTAATAATAATTGTTACAAAGGAACACAAAATACAAATACCTAAACCTAAATAAAACTTTTTTATATTGTTTATCTGTTGATTTAATGATGTGACAAAAACTAATGAGGCAAAATTATAACTTATGTATATTATTTAAAAGCTTTACTTATGTGCTTTTATCGTATTACAAACGATGTCAAGAAATCGAAATCCTTTGAAATTGTCTGCTGCTGACTTCTTCGAATAACAAGTAAAATAACACAATCCGGCAAAAGCCGAAGGTTGAAATTTCAGAACGGAGCACATAATCAATTTTACTAAGAATATAACAAAAAATACTTAATATCTCGGTTAGGTTAGGTTATTTATAACCAAGTTTACTTTGTTATATAATATATATTTACTTGCGTATACCTATGGTAATATAATATAAACGGATACTTCGCATGCGGTAAATATGAATATGGAAAACGTTGTCTGATAGGCAAAGTTAATTAAACTTGTACGAGAGGTGGTGTTGTATAATATAATTATGTTTACCTTTGCGCGCCATTTAGCCACAATATAAATTCCCTTACTTAATAGCTTTTCCAATATTGATGATCTAGGTGAACGGTTAGTTTTTGAAAAACTGACTTTCAAACGATTTAATATTTCTTTATATAATTATCATTAGTCAATTAATTAAGCAAAGAAAGTAATAAAACCTAATATATCATTTTCGAATAACTATAAAACGTCTCAGATTTTAACCTAAACTTTGTACTATTTTTCAGTAAATATTACCTCGAAATCGTTCACTAAATGTATCGATTAATACAAAAGTCTAAATATGATATAATGTTCAAATATATTTAGTATTAAAGTCATTAATAGTAAATAAAACTAGTTAGTAAATATTCCAAGGCTTCGGGCTTACCTAAAAGCTATGGGCTAATTTTAACAATATTTTTTTTTTATACTCAGTCGGGTTTCTACGATCAGCCATTTTTACTGTAGGTCTAAATAATTAATACCTTTTTCATTTTATATTAAATTTTAAAGGTCATAAATATTTGATGTCAAAATGCAGGTTCAACAGAATATTTGTTAATTAGTTTTAAATTTTAAAATTACATAAAAAAAAGGCAAACTAAACCGTGTGTAATAACTTTTTAATATGCGTAGTGTTAATATATGCTTATGTATAGACATAAATTAAACAAAACTTAAAACTGACTGAACAGTGAATATTATTTTTTAATTTTAAGTAGGTAATATATATGGTATGCGTTATATATCCGACCACGCATTTCCGCCCTTTTAGCGAAGTCCAATAATTACAAAATACTAACAATGCTATATTGACATTTTCATGTCTTAGCTCTGGCACATAACCCTGGCAAATATCCGAAAAAAGCGTTACCATTAAAGCGTTACCATAAAAGCGTTACCAAAAGAGCGTAACGAAAAAGGCGTAAAGAAAAAAGCGAAAGGGTTGGGGACGGGAGATAGGGGTGGAATAGGGGGTAGGAGATAAGGGTGAGATTTAGCCGGTAAATAACCGAAACAAAGTGTTACCAAAAAAGCGTTACGCTGCTACGCGCCGCAATGTAACAAAAACTACGAAGCGACGACGAAAGACAATTATCGGAATGACCATTTCGGATCTATTTCGAATGTTAATCTGGTACGCTGTTATCTGATTTGAGATAAGAGATATGTTGTACGTTCAACGTTCAAATTAGAACTAAATAATAAATTCAAAACAGTTTAAGAGCCCAATTTCTCTATGAATTGTTTTAAGCCAGCAATAAACACTACAATTTTAGCCAGAAACTTGACGTTTTATTATACTAGCTTGTTACCGCTCGTTAATTTACTATATCATTATCTATAATTCCACCACTACTCCAAATTTATTCGGTACTTCAACGAGACATGAAAATGATCTTTCGTGGTTGCAGACTCGGCTGAAAAACTGTCTTTATAATATGATTCCTTCCATACTTGTAAACGATATTATACGTGTAACGTTAGCAATATACTACTAAAATAGTTTAGAATCTATTGCAATGGGCTGATAATTAAAAACCTAAAGTTCAGTAATAATTTAAAAAAAGGCGAAGAACTTTGACTTTCACGTGCAATCAACGAACTCACTAATATAACAATACAATAAAAAAAATATCAATAATGTTTATGCCAATATTATCTGTTTATTTATTATTTCATGTTATTTTTAGTTTTACTACAACAAGTATACATTTTTATCAAAATGGTTTACTTATTCACATTATAAGGGTAGTCCAGTGTTCCATGCAAAATCAGTGTGACTTTTTCAACTTGTCCAACTAACTTGAGACCTTCGAAAGGAATCTAAAAATAGTAATTGATTTTTTTCCAAATAAATTTAAAAAGAAAAAAATAATACTCATTTGATTTTTATAGAAAAATTTGAACTGAAGAAAATGTATAATGTCTGTAATACACACAGCGTTTGTATAATAATATATATTTTTTTAAATGTCATAAATTGCTTTTTTCTAGGCTTTATAATAATAATTAATTATATTATACGGTCACACTTTTCTAATTTAAATCAATTATTTTCTTCCACCCACGCTATTTTAATTTCCATTAATTTTACCTCGTCTTTAACAAACACTGTCCATTCGCCCAATGGGTTTTCACCCCAAAATTGCAAGGATTTGATTTTCCACTCGATAAACCCCTCATTCGACACGTCCAAAGGCCGGGATTCCATCATTTTGCACAGTGTTCCTGCGCATGCAGGCGTTATACGCATATATAAACGAAAATTAATAGCATCACTTACCGTTTGGTGACATTAGATCCACTTCAATCAGCCCACGAATTGGGTACTGAATACTAATACTCAATTGAACGTGTTCCAAATATTTGACGTTTCCGTTACAACCATCTGATTTTGTTGACTTAACAAAGCTTTTACCTCCACCGAAGTTGTCGAAGTTATCACTAAAAACAGTTTTAACATATTATCATACCAAAAAAATTGCTGTTACTTGTTCACAAAGACGTGTGTCTTTAATCTTAACGTGATTAGAGTACAATTTTATTGAAATCATTATTTCGGGCTTTTAACTGAAAGTATTTTGTTCGTCGCCAACTAGACTTTAGGTGTTTCTTGGACGTTATTTTATAGACGTTGTGTTATAATAATTTTAACACTAATTTTTAAACTGACGTCAGATTTGTATAAATATTATAATTATGTATTAAACTAACAATCTGTATTAAATGATCTTTATTGAAACTGTTCTTTACGGGAAGAATATATTTATTATAAGATTTTAAATATAAACAATTTAAACATAAACATTAAAATCTAGTCTTTTTTCATCGTTTTAGTTTAGTTTTAATATTCCTGGCAATAGTATACATTTTCAAAGCCTTACTTTTAAGTTTTTTGTGTAATATGAGATAATTAAAACCATTTTCCTTTGATGTAAGCTCATAGACAGTGCTTAAAATAAACCACTATATATAAAGGTATACCGAGCAAGTGGTGGGATTTGTTAATGGAAAAACTTTTAACCAGCTGTGGGTTATTAACTGATTGCTCGAACAAAATTAAACGTTCGCTTATCGATTCGTATTTACACGAACACGTAATAGCTGTCAGATAATCTATACAGTTTGGAATTCTATTTACATCTTAAACGGTTTTGCGAACTAACCTACAGTTTAGCTCAGTGAATAAGTTTTAATTTATTACTAAGTCTATACGAAACGCTTAAATGTCAACTAAAACCGCTGCTTTAGATTCAACTGTGTAGACAATAGAATAGGCTTAATTTTGTTTAAACTATATTCAAGATAACTTATTAAAACACGAATATAAACGAGTTTATCTTCCATAAAGATTATCTTACAAAATATATTATACAAAAGTCCTTAAAGACACAGGTTGCTTATACATATTAATATGTAGCTTAAACACATAACGCTAAATGCATTACCCTGTTATTAATTAACGCTACACAACAACAGTTGTACCTAAGTCTAATGTCAACCGTTTATTTTAAAACAAATTTCAACTTACTGAATCAAAAATTCAACTGCGCATATGGTCTTTTCTGGTACATTTTTCCAAGACATTGCCTCTTTCACTAGGCTATAAGCGTTTATTAGACCAAATCCGAATTGAGGATTAAAATGGAAGCCTGCTGCGTTAACTTTCCAACCTTCATTTTTTGACAAAGGTTCAATTTCACAGTTCCTTACTAACAAATGATGAACGTCTCTCCAGGTCAACTCTTCGCTATACTGACCGGCAAAAAAAAATATTACCAAGTCATACACGTTATTCATTTTAGTAAAACAAAAATATAAATATATTTTGATGGCCAATTATTTTTTTCTAGAAATAGAAATAGTAAAGATAAACGTACTTGGCTTCCAGTGCTAAGGCCACTATTCCAGATGCTAATGGGGCTGCAGCCGAGGTCCCGGTATGCCTTGTAGTACAAGTATTATTGATATCTGATGTAACCTATATAGTTTATTCTGCTAGTTAGTATATTAGTAAAACGATGATCATCGTACATCATTAGGTAATATGCTTTATCTTGTACCTACGGCTAATTATGACTATCTATTTAGACCTTGAGCATGAAATTTGACAAAGCAGAAGCTACAAATAAATATTAATATTAAATTCAACAAAATTATTTCTCTTATGTCAATCGTAAAAACTTACACCTTAACACGACCGATATTACAGAGTAATATGGTAAGATATTTTATAACCATTTTTGTAAAGAGCATATCGTATAACTACAGAATACAGAATACTTTATATTTTGAAGCAAGAGGTTTTATAGCGTTACATAATATAATATGATATTGATCGTCTTCCCTATTGTCGTTCATCGATGCAGGAAGGTAAACTGAATTTATTTTAAAACGATAATAGCAAGTGTACTCATCGCCCTTTACGAGTTGGGCTTAGTGGAACATTTATACTCGTATAGTAAAGGTATTCTATACTTATATGGTGGCCTGGTGCAATGCAGGTCTTTTATCATGATTCAAAATATTGTGTACATCTAATATCTATAGCACATATTATGTTCATAAATATATATTTAAAAATATTTACTAAATCGATTAAAAAAACTGTATTTTTTCTTAAACTAGTAGGTAAACTATACACACATACTACATATATCTAAAAATGTACATCACTTAATAAACAATAGATTTATTTTTTTAATGGATTTCAAGTAAACGCCACTCTGCTTGATTAAAATCGACATTTCCTACAACCGTACTACTTAATGATGTAACAAAAAAACAAGTATTTTAAAAACAATACTTTTCTGTTTGTTTTTAATATTAAACATAGGCTGTTTATTTGATAGAAATATTATTTGGCGAGTACAACTAAAAAATCTGCTTGCCACGGAAGCAATCAAACTCCTATTAATACAACAACATTTCTAATCGAGAAAATAGATAGAAAAAAATATACTATATACATTTAACTGTAGCCCTTTTGCTCATTAAATACAACATTAATTTTTATGTATATGTAGCACAGGGATTATTTCCTACGTGACTCAAATTTCAATAACGTTGGAGAACTTAATTTTATGACGGCATAATATTAAAAATAGTTTATTTACAAAAATGAATAGTTTTAAAACACTAATATAATATGTGTTGCTTAAAAATACATTAGAGGCGAAATATATTATGTTGTTATATAATGTTAATTAAAAAATTAATTAAATAGTTGTACACATTTTCCATAATTTAATTAGCTGAATTGAGACTTAACGCATTTGTACATTGTGTTACACTAATTTTCTAATTGGAAATCTGAAAGACCCAAACTATAATCAACAAGGTTTTAATACATTTTTTTAAAACAAAATAATTGTGTTAATAACCTATAGATGTGCTTTCTTTTGTAGTATAGTTGTTGTGTAATTTAATTAGTGAACCATAATTGATTACATAATTAACCTTTAGAAATATTAAATACCAAAAGATAAATTAAGGGTCAAGCGCTAATTTTTTTTTTAAATATTCGCGGTTTTTCTCAGAAACCATTTAAAGGACGCCATAGTAAACTGAACAACTTTTGAAGCAAAATAGGAATTCCGAATTTCAAGTATTACAAAGTCGATAGAGTAATTATAATAAACGTAGAAACTTAAATAACATATGTTTTGTAGGAAACATATTTTAAAAAAAATGTATGACAAATAGTGCCTACATAAAACAATATTAGTTATTTAGGATATTTTTTAGTCCAAATATAATTTTTTCTTCTATAAGTATCTGTGCTAGTTTAAGCTCTAAATTAAGATTTTGCGAAAAATTGCCTATACTCTATTCCTTAATAGATACGTGGTGTAGCGTCCTCCCTAGTAGATTAACTTCTATATTATTTTAAGCTTTATTCATTTTTAACATTTAAAAAATATCTTACTGAACTTTTTGGTCCGGACCGAAACCAGTTTATTTATCATTAATATTATATCAGTAATATTTACGCGTGACGAGAGGTGTTAAATATTTGTTATCCGTTTCACTACTCGACCTACTTTCGTACCACCCTAAAAATTTACTTGTAAAATATTATATGTATTATGGAGTTTAGCATCTTACTTTCTTTCACTATACAACACAAAAATGTTGGTATTATTCAAATATAATCAAAATGTAGTACAAATATTAGGTTTACGATTGCAAAAAAACAAATTGAACTCAAACGTATACACTTACTTCGTACAATATTTCAACCATATCTAATACCTACTTTGTGTTTGTACAATTCGTTAGATGATTAAATCTAAAATCGTTTACATGTACTTACAACTTTGATGTCATCGATAAGACCGCCGGAATATGCAGTCGCTATAACAGCCGCACATCGTTCGGCGTACAAAGGAGCTTTGCCTTCATGCGTAGCACTACCGATAACCAACGAGTAAATACTTCCCACATAACCGTCTGCAGCACAATTGTCATACAACAAACGACCATTTCCAGATGCAAATACATATATTGCGCCTTTACCACCTCGGCCCTAAACAAAAAATTTAAAAAATGGCTCACTTAAATACCTTATATCATAAGCAGCGCACCTGAATTCGCTCGGACATCTGCATGACTAAACAAATATTTGATAGTATTTGATAATATTTTACAGAGATTTTTTCTCTTTTTCCTTTTCACCTAAATTAATTGAACTCCCAATGTATTGTACCACATCTAATTTTTTTCTTCTATCCTCTCAATTATCCCATCTATTTTTCTCTTAGTCTCATCAATTATTTATTATAACTACTTAATAGTACAGTTAATCAATAAAAAAAAGGAATTAAAATAATACTTCCAAGGTGATATTTCAATACTTCAATAGTGGACATCCTCATAACTCATAAGTATCAAGTACCATTTCCCTGAAAATCTTGGCCACACTAGGTATAGTGAAGAACAAGATGACCGATTTCAATAGAACATAAAGACCGAACATAGAGGGCCGATATCATGGTAAATGAGATACTCATAATATGATGACAGATTGTCGTTGAAATCTGCAAAGTGACTGTATAAATAAAATTCACTCGAGAACTTCAAACAAAACAAGCTTTTAGTAGAGTGGACCAAAATAACTTTTCCTTCTGCGTTTATTTAATTTTTCATATTTTTTATTGAGCTATTATAACGTTAATAACGCTATTGCCATACCTCACATATTTGTTTCCGGCGCTTGAAATACACATATATCAGCTTACAAAAATCTGACAAAAAATGCTGTGGCGCATTTGTAACTATGGTATATATTTATCTATATAAATAATAGTGATTAGAGATGGAAAAATAACCGTATTCTTTTGGGTAAATATTACTCAAATTTTACCCTACTAACTGTCTTTTTTCATGACTTAAATCAATAATATTTTGAAATCCTCGCGGATATTTTTTGTTAACAAAATATTTACATACATGTTAATCCCATACAATTAGGGCCCCGAACCCCGACCAGTTCAAATCCTTTTTCTCCTTGTTTCGTTTATTCTCTATATTTTAATTAATCAATTTTTATCTTTCTATTTATAATAACAACCACGCTTTTTTCGGCCTGCCTTGAATATATATTTATATGTTACTCTTGTATTATCAGTAGATTTATTTAGAATCATTTGTCGTCTCCCTGTCTGTTAAATTGTTACCAGTATCAACCGTACAAGGTATACATTTTTTTGATCTTGTATAATATTCATATTTTATAGTAAAATTTACAATCTCTAGGCTCTAAAAATGATTACCATAGTAGCTCCAATGTGAAATGCCAATTGTCCTATAGGACCCGGTCCATCAACTAACATGCCGTTGTCTTTCGGTCCCCAAGATCCATTATAAATATGAACCAATTTCAAGGCATGTATTAAAGCTCTTGCTTCCAACTCGTCATTGGTCTTACCGTCAAGCAATACGATTCCTATAATTCAATAATTAACTAAAAGTGATTGTAGATATTTTTTTAACTACTCACGTTAATCGTTATAATGATAATTACCCCAAAATAGAATAACAGAAAACAATAATTACAATAACAGTATATAGTAAAAAATATTTAAAAATACCATGGAATAAATCAAATTCAACTAGACTACTAATTACCCGCATTAGACTAAGTAGGGATTAAAGTATAACCATAGTTGTAGGAATGTTGGGGAATAGTAAATTTAAATTTATTATATCTTCTGTTATAGCTTAGTACAGCAAAATTAAGTTTACTATGCAAATCTGAAGAGTTTATGAGTACATTTGCCAATGTATAAATAAATGTAGCATCGCACGCACTCCTTTTGTCAACTATTGATGGAAGATGAAATTTCACACAACATTTTAATCGTGCGTAACTTATTTTTGACTTCTGAATTATCGACTGAAATTGTGTGGGACAGGGGACTACAGACTACACAACCAAATTCTAAAATCGACCTAACTAGACAAGAATACAGCGTTCTGAAAACTATTGGATCATTAAAACCTAATGAGTTTCTTCAAACAACCCCCAACACTTTAGAGGCTTTATTACGTATAACGTTAATATACCAACTAAACGAAAGGTCGGAAGAAAATAAAATCCCGAGGTCCTTAACAATACGAACAGTTAAATGAACGAATGGCCGATGCTATAATTAAATTTTAACAATGATTTCTTTTATGCGAAAATGTATGGAAAAACTTTTTTTTGACATTGAAGTCCAAACCAGTTAATAAAACTAAACACGTTACATTGCAACTTTAGACAGTCATTGAGAAAAGGTACAATTTTAAATCATTTTAAGTCACCTAAGAAAGACAAAACCAATCAATCATAAAAAATAACTTTAACATCATTCACGAATAAATTAAATAATAGCGGGAAGAAGTGCGCTCTCCTTAAGGCGCACCAGAATTTCAGACAACGATACAACCGATTAATGTTGAATAAATAAAAATTCTACTTAAAACTATAACATCTATGAAAACTGACTAACCGCCTACTTTTGCGTTGTAAGCTACCCCAACTCCACACTTGTTGTTATTTGCAGCCATCGCTATTTCTCCGGCACACCTCGTCCCATGGTTGTTTTCCAAAAATTCACCATACCTGGGCATTGGGTCTGTTTTGTTCCAATTCAAATTAATGCTAATGTCTTTATCCTGAAATAATGATTTTGCTTGTAGTTTGAACATGAGCTTATGATTTAAGTGAACAGTATCAATATAATATATTAGAGCGTTCTAATCGCCCGAAGAATGTATAAACTAATTATTAACAATGCGATAAATTGAATAAAATTAAAGTTTATGTTTCAAATTTGAAAAATATTAATATACTACATATTATATAAAAATGGTATTTTATACAAACGTAATTATCTTTAATATCATCGTGAGTGTGCTCCAATCCATCATCAATAACTGCAACCCGAACTCCTTTGCCCGTGTACTTAAGTTCATTGTACACAGGTACTAGGTTCATGTTTAACCGTGGCGAGTCGTTATCACTACGGTAATCTTGCTAAAACATAATAGAATTATACCGTTTTACAATATTTTTAACTTAAATGCATACCTATAAAAGTCACGCGCTTATTATATTATTTTTATGTACTTGGATGTATACTAATTACTAGCAAGTTGACAATAATTAAAAAAATAGTGTAAGTTATTATTGAAATATAATATATATTCTTACACAATACTTCTTCACCGACTACTTTTAACGACTTCTCTCAAAAACATAACAAGTAAAAAATATATATTGCGCAATAAAAAAAATTCGTACTGATTAAAAATAATATCAGCTACTTAACAGTTGAAAAGATAAACTTTTTTTTTAATATTGTATTTTCATTAAACCCTAAATGTATAAATACCCTATTATTCTTAACCTTTTCAGTCTGAACCTTCATTATATTTAAAGAAAAACTCATTAATCTTTTCCTTAAAAAATCGAGTTATGTATTAAACTAACATAATATAAATGTATAAAGTCAGTTATCGAAACATAATAATATATCTGCTGTTGCGTAATTAATTAAAATATCCCTCGTAGGGATCCCTCGCATACCTCAATTCCGGTTAAAAGTATTTTTTAATAAGATCAAGATTTCTGAGAATATAAATTAGGTCATGTTTCTCAATTATTTTTGTATGCAAAATGTATCGATTATTTAGTCTTTCCGAAATTTATTTTATTTTATCAAAAAACGGTTTTCATGGTTAACTAAACTATACCTAAAGATATTAATAAAGAATAAATGAGATTATCAAATTCTATAGGTCGACTCAAGTATAGTTATAATATAATATCAAATTTAGATATTTAAAAAAAAAATACAAACAAGAATTGAAATACATCTAACATCACATTTACATAATGGAGTCACCGATCACCGGTCTTTGGAAATATATAAAAGAGGTATATGTAAAGAGACCTGTCATGTGGTTAAAACTAATTGATGGATCTGCAGCAAAACAAAACAAAAATTGTGCATTAATAGTTTAAAACAAATAGCATAAAAATTATATTCCATACAATTATTTTAAATGTATACCATTTTTATTACATTCGTATTTATAAAATACACTATAGTGTTTTGAATAGTTGATTATAATTTCATATTTATTTGAAAAAAGTTTGTTAAATGTTTGGGTAATTGAATTCATTATTTTCAAATTATCGTTTTCAAAAAATAAATATCGTTAATGTTAATTTCCCTTAACGAATAATATCTTGTATACATTAACGAAACGCTTTTACTTTTTAATTTGTTTTACACTGAAGTGTATGCAAAAGAGTAAAACATTCTATTGCCGAGCACGAAACAAATTATAAAATTAACATTAAAAGTTATGTCTTGGATAATTATTCATAAACCCTATTTTTTATCAGTGGAAAATATAAAATTCAAAAAGCACCGAACATTAACGGACGATTTATCGTCATGTGTATTCATCTGTACACAATATCATCATTAAATTTACCTCATACCACTGCAAACTCCAAAGTTCATCGTTAAAATATCGCTCGTATCTGCTATGGGCATCTATAGGTCCTCTTTTGTGCAGATTTCTCGTAAATCCTTGTTTGACCCAAATCACCTGAAAGTTTTGTCCGTTTAGCTAAGCCAGCTGATCATATTTATTAAAAACAAAAAAAAAAGTTTTGTTGACCGTACTATGTTATTGAAACGACGGACTGATAATAACATTCACAATCAATCATCCCAAACATTAATGTGGACCTTAGGTTAAGCTCCTGATACAAAGTATAATTAGTTATGCTAATAAATTTACACGTGGACGCAATTAGACAATAAGAGAAAATGTACAATTTGTGGTTAAGAAGATGTTTAAACGCCTACTATGAAATATTCACAACCGCTTTTAGAAAATATTTCTTAGAAAAATGATTTTAGTTTTGAAAAAGTAAATAATGTATTTTATGATAATTAAACATCAAGTCAAATGCAAAATATAATAATAAGATAATACGAAATTTGCTCCACAGCGTCACCATCTTTTCATTTCATAATAGTAATTTTTGTTTTAAAATTATTTTGGGCTGAATAAAACGCATTCGACGTAGCTTCGACGTGGTTTGGTTAAGAAATAGCGAAAAATGGTATTAGCGGACGCTGTGGGGGCGTAAGAAAAAACATTAAGTGGCAATTAAGAATCATAATTACTGTACTAATAAATAGTTTTAGCTTTAACTAATTTAGCGAAAAATACCGAACCCATAAATAAATAAATAGTTAGTATAACGTCCTCTGAAACGAATCACTTTAAAAATAATTATACAGCTGGTAAAACGCGTATCATACAAATAATAAAATGTTAATTTGTTATAAGTTGGTTTTTTTATACATTTCTAATAAATAGCCTGTTATAATAAATGCATCACCCACTCTTGATTAACTTTTAGTAATATCAAAATTTGCATAACAAAAACCGGCACAGCGTAATTACACTTTATTCGTTATGCCAATGTAAGTGCACTGTTTAAGTACGATACCAAAATAGGGATATTCTATCCGTATGGGCGTTGGATATCTTCTGGGAGTTAGTTTTTCTTTTTATGCGCAAAAGATGCCAAGCGAGATTGCAATTACTTCGAGTACTTTAAACAACACAAAAGAAGATACCCTCAAATTCCCCATTTAAATAGCCGAGTTTATAATTATTCCCACGGTGACATTACGTTATTGTACAATCCTGTGAAAAACCATAAACATAGGGGATATAATTTCTATTGTTTATATTGTGCCAAGGCGTTTTTCATATAAATAGAAATGGAAAAGTTTGCCGGTGTAATAAATCACGCATTTGTATAGGGATTCATTATTATTACAAGAGTAGATATTTTTTACGTTTATTAAAAAACCATTAAAGAAAAAACACCTATAAGTTTTTTTTTTTTTAATGTCAATATCTCGTAAAAGTTTAAATATTACAATCTACAGATAAGCATATTACTGTACTTTATAAATCTTTAATTTACATAAGATCTACATTGTAAATTCATAAAAAAAAAATTATTGTAATATAAATGATTTAGACTTTAATAACATTAAGGAGGTTTTGTCCACAACAATAAACAATTTACCTCGACTTACTTTTATTGTTTTATTTTTATCTATTTAATGTTTACACAAAAGGGTAGTATTATTTTAATTAAATATCCATTCTTTCTACGCGCTATTGTCTAAACACCTGATCTTATTATTCGTGAAACAATAAACATGATTTACAGTACCTTTAATATTCATTCAATAGTGAGTTGTGTTAAACATTTTATCAAGAGAAAATTACAATTATGAATCGTAATGACACAACTGTGGACAACTCAACTACTAGGCACTACCAGAAGTTTTTGCATACAATTATTAACATGTTCCATTTAATTATATTAGCTTCTATATTATTAGTACCAAAAGACCCAGAGTTGTTCAGTTAGAAAAGCAACATAAAGCTTTTTCAAAGTTTATTTACTACTAATTTTCAAATTTAAACTTACTTAATTAAAATATAATATAACACTGTTGTAAAATTGAACTTTTTTTTATAGTTCTCTAAACAGAATATTATCTACATTTCGTCAAAATCATTAGACCATTTTGAAAGTTAAAGATACATATATATATGTTTAATATTTATGTACATATTTGTACATAAATATTAACGGATATGTTGACAGTAAGGATATGTATCATTGCCTAGTACTTTCTATCACTTCCTAACAACAACAGAAAATGATAGCGAAATCAAATATAAGCATTTTGTTATTAGAACTATCATTATTAAACTTTTATTTTTTTTTACTTCGATACGTAGCAGAGAAGGTATTGGCCTTTAAACTTAATAAACATTTTTTAAAGTTTACATCTTTTTTTTCAAGAAAATAATATTAACTCCTATCAAAAAGTAAAGTAAAACTATTCTTTCTTTAATTTTTTCGGCGTATTTTTTGGAATTCAGGTTTAGAAGAAATATGAAGACCTCCGAACGGAATTCAACACCCCAGATCATCTCCAGGCAGCACTTCACTCTAACATTCAAACAGAACGAAACACCATACAATTTCTTAAAAAATCTAATTTATTCTCTCTAATTAAAACTATTGTGTATTTTTAATTTTCCTATTATATTATATTATATACCATATACTGTACACCAAGGACCCTGTAGTCGAGGCTTGATAATCATTTAAAAAAAATTAATTAAAAAAAAATAACTACCTATAACTAGATATAACTAATGATAACATCGCCTAAAATATGAAATGTTGTCAAAAGTCAAGAAAATCAATGATTCCTTAAGTTTCCAGGAATCGTCGTAACTTCCATATTTGTCAACATTCCTTGTAAATATATAAAAAATAATAGGAGTACAACATGAGCATGAGGAGCATGAGTATAACAAAGGGTTCAAGGTCAAGACGTCTACAAATAGAAGGGTTCGTGACAGTAAGTATATATTATAATGTCTACTTTACATTGATCTGCAGCAGAAAGTCTATTGTTAAAAGTCTACTTAATAATTATGTAGATATACAAATAATACTTCTACTATTGAAATGCGTCAATAAAAATAGATTAAAAAAAATGTTCTACAACTTTCATCAGCATATATTTCGAGTCTATGGTCAATACCTTGTTAATAATGCATGATTTCTCCTTTTTCATTATACGTTTCTTTTTCCTAAGGTTAGGTTAGGCTAGTTATCAACCATTCCCTCTACTTACAGTGAATTTATCTGGTAAGATTTTTTTACCGTTCATGATTCCCAGCATAGCCAGGTCTTAATGGACTCTATCTATCACATGTAATATTATAATGTATAATGTACATACATTTTACTTCAGTTTTCTTGTGCATAAGAAGTAAATCAATTGGTATTCACGTGTTTTTATAACATCACAAACGGTACAGAGTTAAAAAATATTGAGGGTACGGTCTTAAACTCTACTCCCCCCGTCTCAAAGTAATATACGGTTCAATGTTAATAGTGTTCTAGCTTCATTTGTACAAAACAATGGCAGTAAGTATAATTATCAACATTAATTTAAACGCTTCTATAAATTTGATGACAAGATAAATCCAAGAGAAAGCCTACAAAATATCGTTAAGCTGTATTACCATATTATTGTTGGTCATGCAGTTATCGACGTAACAGGAAATTTATTTATTATTGTATAAATATAATTGCGAATAAATGTTTAGCATTGTATTTGAGGCATCCTAAGCAAAACCTTAAAAGGCTGTATAATCTATTATAGCTTCTCGAGTAAAAGTTACGCTTTTCGGAGACAACGAATTAGTTTTGTTCATTAAACTGTGTAATGATTTTCCCATTTGATGTATCGTTGAGTAAGGTTGTAAAGTTTATTGGTATGGAAATATATTTTAAAAATTGATGCATTGTAGGAGATGATGTTTTTGCGTGGTAGTTCATTTTTTACATTTTGCTGCGAAAAAAAGAAAGAAAAGATTTTAATCTTATAATATCATTGTCGTTATCAAAGTGTGACGTCAATACAAAATGACGAAGAGGGTGCTTTTAGCGCCTATGTATACATATTCCACCAAAATAGTGTCGAAACGGATGACTTCGTGAACTTTAAGGGTATAGCTCCGGCTGAGTGAAGAAACGTACCTATATAAGTTTAAACTATAATATATGACAAATTGAAGCTGACAAAATCAAAATTGTATTTATATATTCTGTTGATGAATAAAAGAGTATAATAATGGTTTGATTAATCATCTCTTGAGAAAAAGACATTTTCTGTGAAGTTTAATTACTACTAACTCAATAAATTAATTACTGATTTAATTGAGATTAAGACTAATCAGTCGGTCACACAATGTTCAGATGCCATAAATTACACAAGTTTCCGAGACCAGAGTTTAATCAATTGCCGATAATCGATAGTATACAATAATGGAGTGTGATTTGTAAAATTCACTTAAATTGACCGTATTTCTTAGTTTCTTCAGCAAGTACGACATATATGTAAGTGATACGAAAGCAATAATATACTAAAGTCGGCGAACGTAACGAAGATTAATATGTTTAAAATAAAACAACTATTATTGACCAAAAATTTGGCTTGTAAATTAATTATGCGACACGTACGTGTAAAATATAATATCAACGAAATAAAAACAGTTTTTTTAAAGAATCTAATGAGGAAGTAAAAAAAAAAGGCAGGCACAATGTGACATTTGGCAAAAGTAAATAGCAAAATCATTTTTTTAGGTTCAGCAACTCAGGCTATTACTTATATAAACTTTATTTGTTGGTTTTAGTTTGAGTTGGTTTGAAAAATCATATTTTATGTTTAAGATAAAATTACCTGTTTGTAATCTTCTAGAGTTCTAGTAATGTCATTACTATGATGGTCATTATTTTCTGGATGATCAGCCTTTCGTACTTTATAAACATTAGGCACGCCTTCGACCTATTTGAAATAAATATTTCATACACTGAAAAAGTAATTACATTTTCATTAGTTACATGCCTGTTCGAGATTTGTAAACCCTTGAATTGAAATGGATTCTATTATTTTTTCAGTATTCTCCGGGGAATAGAAATACCACGTGTTCGTGTAATAATTTACATCGTGGCCACCGTGATGCTAACAATAAACAATTGAAAACAAGTTTTAATTTTTACTAAAGTTAAATACAGCAAACACAGTATACAGCAAGTACAATTTATACTTACATGTAAAGTTAATAATTCATTTGGTGCAATTAAAAAATTGCCAACAATAAATTGGGCGTATCCAAACAAACACAAAAAAAGAAAAGAAACTTTCATTCTAAAAAATGTCTTCATTCTTGAAAAACTTCAATTAGCTAAAATCATATAAGTATAAGTAGGGCCAAGGTCCACATGTTTAAGGTTACGGTTAAGTTTTTATTTTACTCTTCAACTAAAATAATATTGTTCATCTTATACAAATAGCATAAGAATGTAATTTTCAAAATTTGTTAAATCTGTTATCATAGTATATTAAAGTCACTTTCAAAAATAATATTAATAACAAATTCATACTTACTGAATTCACTTTTTGAACTGTTCGTTCAAAAAATTTGTTTTAAAATAGATCATATCAAGGCATTTTTTTAAATTTTATAGGTCAAACTAAATTTATAAAAGAGAATAATAGTATGTAAAAGGAGAAAATATATTTAGACTTAGTAAATATCCAGGTTACTATATGAGAGTGAATTAACAGTTATATGAAAAATAATTTTATTAAGTTGTTAATTACAATAATATAATAGAAACAATAGCAACAAATTATTATAAATAAACCATCATCACCCTAATCGTATCCACCCTTTACTAAAAATACGATTTTAAGCACAATATTGGCATGACACTGTTTTTATTGATATATGTAGTTCTGGATTTTTATTAGCTGTATCTATTAAAAAATATGTCGTGACTTGATGAAAATATAATTCTCTATGAGTTTAAAGACTTTTGAAAGTATGATGAACATGGTGTAATTAAACAAAACATACATTTGAGTTGCTTAAACATTTCTAGTTTTAATAACGTACCTAGTTTCAAGTGCTAAGTTTGTACATTTTCAGTCATGGATTATTAATAAAGATATTTTTGATATTTTATAATAAACTTGAACCTTAAAATCCTGCACCGTGTGTATGTTATTATATTTTATGAAGTATAAACAAATAATTTATCTCGTCCCAAATCCTATAATATTTGCATATTGGCAAGTCAAGCAAATATTAAATCCCACAGACATATATACATTCTATGGCATATGTATAATAAGGCAAACTCCTACTGTAATCCTGTTTCAATAGAATGAACCGATTCACCCATAACCAATACAACCCTTTGGACTTATAGTAAATCGTGACGCATTTCATCCTTGCCTAAATAATAATGGATATTTTCTAAATTGTATTTTTAACAATAAAAAAATATAATTAAAATTCAATACATTTTCTGTATGTTTAACGTTTAAGTTGAAAAATATAGGTAACTTGATGATATAACTAGGACCCTAGTTGGGTATTTCGAACAACAGTATAATAAATTAATAAAATATAAGAATACATTTACCGTAAAATATTCGCAAATGAAAGAGTATTATATTATATTATATTTTATGTCTTTTAAGCATACATCTTAAATACTACTTCAATATTGGTCAAAACAATGAAACATTACAGCAATATTTGATGCTAAATTAATTTTTCACAAAAAAAAAAAAAAAAACAGTGTCAGCTTTTTTTTCTACTTTTTATTTAATTTTAATTATTAATCTTTATTAGTTATTTATTTATACCTAAGTTGATTTAAAAAGAAAGAGTCGTATATAATATTTCAAAATTGAACTCACACGCCGATAAAAAGTATAAATAAAATAACAAGGTTTCCTTCACTAAATGTTTAACAAAAAGTATAGGTCCATGATTTATTTATAGATTCAACCTTCTAAGCTTAAACCCTGTCAATGTCCTAACAAAAGTTTACCCCAAGTAAAAAGTTTTGGCACCTTAGTGTATTTTTATAGGGCTATTTGTTTATTTGCTCTGCTTTTTTTTTAAATCTTTGGTTCGGTCTTTAAAAAGCGTGCTCCGGAAAGTTTTGAAATATATTTCCATGACAAAAATAGAAGTATTCGAATTAAAAACTTAACACTCAAACGTAAAAAAAATTCTCAAGTAGTATTATTTATTGAAATGAACGCTAAAAATTTATTTTTATAAGAAGTTAACTTCCCAATATAATATTTTTAATATTTTAAAACATAATATTTTTTATTTATTTTTTAATAAATAAAAAATATCTCAACAAAAATTAAGGTCTAATGAATTAAAATAACGTTTATAAATTATACAATTTTACGTTAATCGATAAACATAATTTTTAAAATATTAAATTTTGGTTGATACACAACACAAAAGGTCAAACGTAGGATTGAGTAGTTGATCACAAGTCTTTATACTATAAATATAAAAATTAATATTGAAATTTAAATATAGCTTCAAACCTGGGAATCGGAACAATTTTTTTTAATGGAGCATTCCGGAACAGTATTTCAGTGTTACTCCCTAAATGGATTAATACGGAATAGCTTTTACTCTATTGTTTACGTTTGTATTAACATCTTAACCCTACTAATAAAGTTAACATATAGCCAACGACATTAAAAATGTACTGTTCCGGCAAGGTCGGAATAGAGTAATCCCAAACAATATATTGCTCCAATTAAGTAATCCGGAACTATGTTAAAAAATGTATTGTTCCACAAAGGTCGGAATGGAATAATCCGGTACCCAGCCTGGTTGAAACTTAATGTAAAAAATAAATGCGAGGAGCAGTAACAAACGTTTCTTCCTAATTTTGAAACATTTAATACACGAAAAATGCGGTTAGAGCGAAGAATGTGCTGGACATTTTCGAATTAATTATTTTTTACTACTTACAAATAAATAAGTTACTTTTCATTTTGTCGTGAAAATTTTAAATACAAAAATAATAAAATATTAGCTATTACACACTATTATCTATTTAATAAATAATGTTTAACCTATTTCATTTTATATTATTCGTGGTAGGCTTAAATAACAATTTAGAACGATTATATTTGGAACGGTTGATTAATATTAACAGGAATAATTATTACATATGAATGTAATAAACGTGTTTGTAATCGTTTTGTTATGTTTTTGGTTTATTAGGCCTGTCATGTTTTTTAGTCCACCTCCGATTTAGAATCTAAATTATTTAAGGTAATATTTGGCGCTTATTAAAAAAAAAAATTGATTATTATTTCAATTGCATTCATGTGTAGGTATACTATACATTACTATATATTCACAATATTATCGATAAGCTTTACGTGAAATTTAAAAATATGACGTTATACCAAAAATTGATAGCGAGATTCAGTTTAAAATTTTCCAAAAAAAACTTTTATAATACTTGAAATAATTATTACTCGAAAGAGCCTTATCTAATTAGAAATTATTTAAATAGTTTACTAGATTACTAGTTTAATAGATGTAATTCGTGTATTACCTGTATGAGAGACGGTATAAAAATCCATTAACGCAGTGTTAACCATCAGAATGAATTGTTTCTCGACCAGACTACTGGTGAATATAGCAAGCTATCACATAATCGTCATGACTCCTGTCAGCTCATATTTACTTAGGTGTACGTTAATTACTAACGCTAAATTACTGCAACCGTTTTTTCTAATATAAGGTATGAAAACAATTATTTAATTTTTTATTAACAACATATATAGGTATAGCCCAATACGCCAAACACAACAAATGGTCGAATTGTGCATTCGTTAGTTAATAATATGCATAAACAATACGGTAATTGCAACTGAAGTAGTTAAGTTGAAATGTTTCGCATACACAGGGTGAACCACCCAATATGTCATATAGGATTAAAATAAGAAATTTAATTTTTTTTTCGTAGTGTTTTTATATATTGTGATCTCAATTTATCACGTTTGTTTTTAATCCCCTCCCAACTTTGCTTTTTTGAAAGCAACTTTGTTTGGGAGTGGGTAAAACCAATGTGGCAGTATAAATAAATAACTAAGGAATTAGAATATTAATTACTGTTTAATAAGTAAGTATTATGTTATTTAATATCACAAAAAAATATGTATATATATATATTATATATATTGACATTTCAAAAGTAAAATCTACCAAATAAAATCGTGTGAAATAACAAGAAGTGTCATGACCATATCGATCATACATAAAATAAAATATTAATGTTGAAACACTTTAAACAATAACGTACTACACATTTTTAAGACATATTAATGTTATGTGACGCCAATAAACCTTTAAAATATTACAATAATGATTAATATATTATATTAAATTATAATACTCAATTATCAATAAACTTTCGATTTTACGACCTAATATTGATACAGGATTACATTATTTTATTATTAACAAGTTAATCATAGTACACACGGGTTATAATTATTGCTCAATTTCAAAATATAATTTTATTGCACTGTAGTCTGTAATTTGTTTCATTTTGAGAAGTAATTTTTTCGTGCAGTTGATTTTTTTTTAAATATTTTTCATACTTCAAGGTATCTTAAGATTATGTTTGATTTATTCAACTGATCAACTATTTAACATTTAGAATTTATGCCTAAAGTGTTCTAAGTATCTGTATCGTCATCAATGATGACTCATCAGGTTAAACATTTTAGTTCAGACATCAGGAAACCTCGACTTATTATCCTATAAACAAAAATGCATTTTAACAATAATTAGTTATAATTAAATTACATATTTGACCTTTTAGAAAAATACTAACGCGTTTTAATAACGTGAAAGCATCATATGGACGATAACCCTTAGAATAAACTTGGGGTGCTTCTTTAGTTCCATACATAACTAAATTCATCTCTAAAATTTTTCCTTTGTTTGACTTTTTACCGGTCTATTAAAAATTATAACAAATTACAAACAACTAAAAAAAATAATAAATATTAACTTATTCACCTGATCAAAAACATCAATGGTAAAATTTCCCTTTGGAGATTCTCCCCAGAGAGCAAGTATATTTATAGACCATCTTCTTAAACCTGTAGGGTTAGTATCTTTTGGGCGGGGCTCTAGAATATGAATTTCGGTGCCTAGACATAATTAGTTAGAAACCGTTGAGACATATTAAATATAATAGAAAAATCTACATAGATACTCGTGTTCAAACAAACACTAAAGATTTCATTCTGATTACCTTGTGGTGATTTCATGGATATTTGAATGTCTCCTCTTTTCGGATAGACCATAGATAACACTAGTTGTACTTCCTCTAAATAATTTATTTCACCTGGCAAACCACTACAGCCTTCCGAATTTACACGAATACGAGCGGCTTTAGATCTTTCTACAACCAAGTTTCTAAACATATAAATTCATTATATGAATACATTTTTATGAATAATTTGAACAAAATAATTTCTCAAATTTGATTGTGTTATCCAATGTGATTGGGTCACTAGAATATACCTACCTGACAGTAGGTATACGTAGAGCACACGACGCCATCTTTGGCACGTTCACCCAGTTCTTAGCTTGTTTGACCAACTGATAAGCATTCACTAAACCAAAACCAAAATCTAAAGAGTAGTAAAATCCAGCTGCATTTCTAATCCAACCGTAGTTGTTTTCTAACGGTGCTATTTGGGATGTCCATGCAAGTAAGTGTTTTACATCTCTATACGTCAACGATGGACTATGAAACAAAAACATTTTAAAAAATAACTACTTTAACCTAGATAAAACCCAAACAAAAAACGGATGGAATTTATACTTCAGAAAAATATTTAAAATACCCTCCACCACATTGTTACCATCATCAGCGCCCACCAAGGACTCTCGCATAGTGAAGTGTATGATTAATATTTTATTTGACTAGTTTTTACCTCAAAATCTGATTATGAACTTACTTTGCAGATAAAGCCAGCGCTATAATTCCAGATACTAAGGGTGCCGCTGCCGAAGTTCCTGTATGTTTTAATGTACAGCCACCTCCTACATCAGTGGTAACCTAATTACGTTTTTAAAAAAACAAATCAAATTGAAAACCCCATTAACTAGGTATTTCGCTTCACATTTTTAAGCCCTGAAAACTCATTAAGATTTTATTTTCAGTTATTAGGTAATATTTAAATAATAAATATATATATTTCTATACTTATAGATTAGAGGTCTTTGTATTTGTATTTTATTAATTTTTATAACTTAAAGAAAAATCAGCACATACCACATTTTGTGTCAGTCCTGAACCACTATAAGCCGTGGCCGTTATAGCTGGACATCTTTCTGAGTAATGTGTAACCCTACCACCATCATCAGCGCTCGCAATGACTATTGTATACAAAGAGTTTACATAACCGTCAGCCGCACAATTATCTCCATCTGGCTTCCCATTACCAGCGGCAAAAACATAAATACAACCTTTTCCTTCACGACCCTGTCAAACCATAAAACACATTTTATCTCTCATCTAATTTATAACCAAAGTTAAATCAATTTAAAACAATTTTTGTGACGTCCATATTTTAAATTATGTTTACATTGATATTTATTTCTTAGCAGTACCCATATAATTTTGTTAGTTAGTCATTTACAACAATTATCATTACATCTATGAATAAGAAACTTAAAGTTATTCTATGGTAAATATTTATTTATTTGCTTATACATATTTATTACTTACAATGAAACATACTGTTATACCATTTTAATAAATTGGCATTCCACAAAACACATTAGAATATTATACTGTTATGAGAGGAGATTACTGAAAACTTTTGAACCATGCGTTAATGTAATTTAAACAGTTGACTGCCAAATAAAGAAATAAAAATATATTTACAAATAAAAGTTACCCACAAACCTTGGATAAATTCGTCATTTTTTTTAAGTACCGATCGAACTGAGGTACAAATACTATAAAGAATTATCTAAGGAAATATAGAAACGGCTGGGTATGCATAAGCATATAATAACATGGTAAAATTGTTAATACATGTAATTAAAATTCTATATACCCAAGTAACTAAACCTAATTTTATTTGGTTTGAATAATGGAGAATAATAAATATGAAGAAATTCATAAATATCAAAAACGTTATTTATTTCGATATTATTTTTTAGTTTTGATGCGAAGCTGAAAAGGTGTTAGTAATTTAATAAGGTTTTTTTTGTTTAGTTTTATGACTGAATCAATATCAACTACTTTAATATAATTTGATAATTTTCTTACTTGGTGTATGCCTAAAGAAAGTGACTCTTTTGCAAAATCGCTTATATGTTCCATAAAATAGCCATTATCAGAGGGTCCCCAAGAATTACTGTAAATGTCTACGATATCATAACGGTGTTTTAGAGCGTTACTTTCTCTTACATCTGTTGGCTGATCATCTAGAAATTTGATTCCTTAAACGAAAAAAATGTTTTTAATTAAATTATCTTGGTTATATCTAGTTATCACTTAAAAGTTTTTATACTGAGCTACATACATATAATATATATTTACGTGTATTTATCTGTTATTGATTTTGTAAGAAACAAAAAGTATATACTCGCTATTTTAAGCAAGGATAGTTAGGACATTATTTGGCTTATATGTACATATTTTCAAATCAAACTGTGAAAATTGTAGCCTAATATTTACCTCCAACACTAGCACCAAAAGCTGTCCCAACACCACATTCGTCATTGTTAGGCTGCATTGCAATTTCTCCAACGCACCTTGTACCATGAGATCGCCATTCTCCATAACTGTTTTTCGTCGGTGCAATATCCTTGTCATTATTTATAAAATTAAAACTTATATCAGGATTCTGAAAACAAAAATTGTTTTACGTACAAAATATATTTATGAACACTTTTAAACAATTTCTTTATTTAACTCATTTTATAACAATTTTAAAAATTAATTAATTGCAAACTTAAAAACTATTTTGGGCTATTCTGACTTCCTTCCTCAATTTTGCGAAAAGTAGTGACTTTATCGGTCATACCATTATGTTTTTTTGTATAAAACTTCAAATCCTAAACAAAAAAATTTCCTTTTCAGATTTACTTAAAGAAATAAATTTAAGAGAAAAAAATAGAAAAGTTAATTTTTTAAAATGGAGATTTTTGGGTTATAAAATTCGTATTGTAGTACTTTAAACGGACTTTCTGACTTTTAATAAATACTTAGGAACAAAATGTTTTGTTTCTAACTGGAACAAATTAAAGGCTCCTTAACACACTTCTAAAACGTTCGTCAAACGACGATCTGTATAGAAACATTTAACTCATAAATATTTTAATTTGCTCTAAAGAAATTTCAAAGATAACAAAACTAATAAATTCATCTTTTAACTCTAACCTATCCTTAAACTTTAAATTGTAAACATTATAGTTCAAACAACTAAGTATGTATTGTTTAAATATGTTTCTACGAGAATTTGTAATTAACTATTATAATAGATACTATAGTACTGTAAATAATCGTAAAAATTATCTATTATTATATATATGTGTGTGTGTGTGTGTGAGTGTGTTATACTTACGAAGGCTGGTAATATATCTGGATGCCAGTACTGTAAGCCATCATCCGGTACGGCAATATTAACACCGGCTCCAGTGATTTCTAGCTCATAATAAACTGGTACTATATTCATGTCCCTCACGGATTGATTATCACTAGTACGATAATCTTGCTGAAATTTGCAGTTAATATAATAATGGGAAAATTAAGCTTGCTGCGAGATGTAAAAATGTATATTTTATATAAATTAACTTTTGTTTTAAAAATAAAGTGTAATATACGAAATTAATTTCAGTAATTACAAAATCCGCAAAAAATTTTTTTTTTGTTCAAAAAATCTTTTAAACTTTAATATTAAATTTTCATAATAAAAAATAATTTATAGGTCTTGGGGCATTTTAACATTTAATGTGACGATGGTTTTTTTTAATAAAACCGGAGGGTTATGAAAATTGCCTCATTAAATTTAATGATTTTTGGAAAATGTATCACATTGCTGGGTATGAGATATGTAACTGAATTTGAATTGTGGCTGGTTCTGATACCAAATTTTTATAAGTAGGGTTGGAACCACACTAATATAATTTTCACAAAAATCATTATTTTTTGCTAGTATTTTTTTTTTAGCTGTATCAATTAAGAATTAATTTGAATATTTTGAATTCGAATGCAATGACAATTCACATGTTATCTCGTTTAACTGAGAATGTAATAAAAAATCATAAAAACTTAATAAGGAAATTTAGATCAAACACAAAGTTATAGTCAATTGAACTTAACTTGCTAGCTTTGTACGAACTGAAAGTACACTAATAATTCGCATATAAACATTTAAATTAAAACATATGCATTTACTTACAAAATACCACAAACTTTTCCAATATTTATCATTAAATGCATTTACATAGGAACTCTTCCCTCGCATCACTGACTGAGGCCTACCGTAGTAAGATGTGTCTATAGTACCGCGGTATGCTCTAACCTTCACACATTCTTGCTTTACTGTTGTGAGCTAAATAAAGTAATGGTAAAAATGAAAATACAGATTTTATAATAAAATGGTCGATTATTTCTTATATTGTTTAGGTTGGTTAAAGATAGAAGTGAATTAAAAATAATAATGGTAAATTTAAAGTTTATATACATAATTGTACATCATTTAAAATAATAATTAAATGTGAATTATTTATTTAACTTTAATAATAATAATTATTATATTTATTATCTAGAATAATAAAAAATATACTTATAACCCAATTATAACTCATACTCTATAAATAAACCATTCGAATCAACTGACGAACGAGTCCAATATAGACTAAAACATTACTAGGTAAACATTTTAATCTGTGCGTACCAACGAACTCTCCGCAAAGCATTTAAATATGTATTTATTTATGAACAAATCATTTTATAGTCAAATTTAAATATTGTTTAAAATATATGAGTCACTACTTAATTTTCAAAATTCACCACTTAATTTGTTAAGCCACTCATCTATATAATATTTATATAAAGTAAACAATTTTAAGTTCTTCCTGTTACATTATTAGATCATAAGAAATCAAACGGTTTTCGCATATTTTCGTTTTGTATCACGTCATAAACAGCACACCAAAATATTGTAACGAGCATTACTACAGAGGGGTTTCAAAAGTTTTAAGTTAAAATGTTTTCCTGTTTCATAAATATACAAATTCATTTAAGATTTCTTAAATTAAAAATGTCAATTACAAGAAAAGTTTTAATTGCTACGGGTTATACACGCATTAATACATTAATTATAAGTACCCTAAATTATTACAATCATTATCTAATAAACTTTTAGTCATACGTGTTCCTCATTTCTTAATAAATCAATTATATTTTCATGTTGTTCGTTTGAAGATAAATCTCGTTTTTGGAAATAATATTGACGATCCTGGTAAAGAACCTGTAAGTCAAACAAATATATAAGCCACCTAACATAATATTAGGTACATTTTATACAAATACCTAGTTAACATTCTAGGTAAGTATAATAATAAGTATCGGATGAGATATAGTATCCAGTTTAGCGTTACCACAAACGATCATTTTTTTTGTAGAGGAATATTAGGGTGCCAAATAGAAATAATACTAACATCAATTGTATGTATACAAAAGGGAGCATGGGTGGAAACAATCCCAATTCCCTCCTTACTGTCATTGACCTCACAGAAGGGAGGAAGTTTTTTTAATAAAGAATGCTAATTCACACTACGAGGGTTAGGTTCCATAGCCGTATTAATACATAATATATTATATAGTGTATATAAATGTACTATATTATAAGAAGAAACTGGAACTGATTAATACAAATGTTTAAAATCGTTTTGAACATAAAAATCATTTGCGTTTCGTACCTAGCCACCAACGTGTGTGTAACCTACGCGTGTATTAAAATCAATAGATTTTAGATTATGATTAGAAACCCATTAGGTTATATCTACTTTGTTGTTCAAAATACATTTGGTAAACGATATGTTCTTTTCGCTAAACTGTTCTCAAAGGTTTTTGCGGATAATCTACAATAGTTCACATCACTTATTATCCGATAACAACGAATATAATACTCTGACGAACCGCTTTGTGACTTGTTTTGTCCGTTAGAAATAAATAAATTATAATTTATAAGTAATAAAATCGATGTATATTTTACAAAAAAAACATGTTTACCGACAATCGTTACATATTGTATATTCTTAATCTATCAACATCATATTATGTAACACTTTATTTAAGACCCAACGTACTTTGTCGATTTTGAGAATAAATCCAAAAATATCGTATATTATACATATTTAACTGTAATTGACTACAATGCTCGGTTATTGTTTACCGTTCTAATAAAATATATAGCACTTTTTTTTTTCTTTTTCATAAGTTTTAATTTATGATATAGTGCCACTATAAAATATAATAACGACCTGGGTAACTAGAGTCGGCTTTAAAGTCAAATTTGGGGTTCTCAGGGTTTGCACTTCGGAATCCGGTCACCAGGGTTAAATCCGGTGCGGGGGAAAAGCTCACAAGGGTTGTTCGGGAAATGCGCGCGTGGAAAACTCATGTGAAATTCGCCTGGGCTCCTGGTGGCCAAAGCTCGTTTGGTTAAAAGGAAATGGCGGCGGCACGCTGCGGGACGCCAACGTGCCGCAACGAGGACCGTTGACCTCGATACCGGGCCGCGGAGCCGCGAGGGTGCAACATGGGACCCTAGTACTGGCGTCCTCATCCGGGGTCGAGGTCACAAGGCCACTTGCGCGCGCTTCCGCTGGACGTTCCGGCGCCCGCGTAACGACAAACGCTCATCGACCGCGTTCCCACAGCCTTGAAATAAAAAAAAAGTTCGGCTTTTCATTTGTTTTTTAGACACCTTTGCGCCAGTGGATTTATGCATTCCCGATTAAATTCAACTACCAACCAGAATTATTACCGACCGGTATTTTTTATACACTCGCAAAAAAACTACTTGGCGTTGGCGTAAACAAAAAAAAATATATATATATATATATATATATATATATATGTATATATAAATGCACCGTTTCGCGCGCACGGGACCGGAAGAACAGTAATGATGCATAAAATAGCTAAATAATACCATTGAGTATATATTGCACTACAATATATACGCAATGATAATACTCTAAATAAAAAAAATCTATTATCGTTTGGTTGTCGTTAGTTGTACATTAAACCGATATAATCAAGCCGGTGCACAAATAATAAAATCTCTTGAAAAATTCGTATTGTTTAAATAACTACATAGAAGTTAAATTCCATTATCAATGCACTGTTGTGATAATTTTAAAAACAATTTCTTTTATGTTAGTGGGAAATTGAAAAGAAAAATAAACGAGTATTCTATACTGCGAGACTTTTTGAGTAACTAGTTTAAAATGTATACCACATAGTTTACCCGTTCAAAAATCTGTGTTCAACTATTTTTTTTTAAATTTTATCAACATTTTCTAAGTAATTTATTGTTAAATTAACTAAGTGCAGAAGACATTAGACAACAAAATACGATTTTATTATTATTGATAAACGTACAAACTCATGTACATTATGTTTTTTTGTATCATTCCACAATATTTCTAGAATGGCTTTTGAGTAAGTAGCACATAAATTGATTAGCAATCGTACACAATATAATATATTTTATACTTTTAGATTTTCAAAGTCGTCAACTCGGTAAAATATTTAATCAACGATTAATAAGCATTGCAATCAATATTATCTTCTAGGCTTTAATTAAATACAATGTTACCGGTCCGACATAATCCAAGTCATATTTTTTTGCAATTTCTTTTGCTAATATTTCTCCATAAGGTACGTGTACAATCCATTTTTGGTTACAATGCTTAACACCATCCGAATTGACATAAAAAAATAAATGTATAATTACTTCCAGCAAAATAAGTTGCCATTTCAATTCCATGCTTGGAAACTGTAAATAAAAAACAAGACATTTGACATTTTTTATATTTTCATTTTAAAAAAACTAGTGTTTCTTTCTCCCAGTCTTTTTAATGCTATTATTTAAAAGAAACATCACAGCGATCGTCAACAGTAGAAAAATATAATACATTATAAAAAAGGTAATAGTTAAAATGTGTTATCTATCCGAAAATAAAATTACCCTGTCTATCATTATCGTCCCTTAGAATTAGTACAATTCCTCTAAGGTTGCTCTCGTGCACAATGTAAGTGTATAGTAATAATAGTAATGTATATAAGTAATGTACTATCTAACGATAGTTTAACCTTTGCGGGTCTCCGCAGAGTTACTACACAACTGAGAGTTTAGAACTTCATACATCACACGCCAGACTTTTATGTCTAAACGAGTATTAAGCTCAAAAAAAAATAAGTTAATAATTTAATAACTAGGATTTTATATACGATTTGGTAAGTCTAGAACAAATGTTTAAGAAATTCACTAATTTTACCTACGTTTTAAGTCCTCAGAAGGAAAAGTGGTAGTCGTACTTTGAATTTGAAGCTTTACAATTAACCATACTCTTTACACATTTGGGATATACTCCATAAAATATGTAGAATTTTCATCGATTTTGGACATTTTATAACAACTTTAAAAAACCAATTTTATAATATGGTTTCATACATGAAACATATTGTGGTGCCATGCCATAGATATCAAGCACCGTGAGATCTAGTGGGGTACTAGTTGGAATAGCTATACATTATGTGTTACTTTTTTTCAATTAAATGTAAAACGCTTTAATGTTTATCTAAGTAAAATATTTTTTTTTTATTAGATATATTTATATTTAATTCAAAATTAAAATTTCAAAGTGTTTCAACCATTTCCTCTACACCATGTCAGTCCTCTCTGTAGTAGTTGTAGTAGTAACATTTCATGTGCATAATATATTAACTATGTACACTTATAATTAAACGAAGTAAATAAATATTATTCATACTTACTAAAATATATAAAATTTAATCTTTAATAGTAAACACTATTTTGATATAACACAGCACATTAATTACTCTTATGGTTTGGATCGTAAGTGTATAAAAGTTTATAGTGTTATACTGTCTTATATATGTATATAGATATATATAAATAAACGAGTTGTTTATTTTTTTGATAGTTTTTTTTTCAATGTATTATGTATATTATCATTAAAATATACACTTGCGTTACATTATTATTATTCAGTTCGCTCTGTATCATTGTGATGAATTGGTGTCGTGTTTAAAGTACATTAAATTTATTAAACACATCTGTTCTCATAGTCTGAATGTCATCCTGTGCTGTTTTACTTTGGTAAAATAACATAATTACCTGATGTTAATTATAAACGTTTGATTGATTGTGTTTAGAAAAGCTCCACAATCAGTCGATAACATTTACACCGTACAAAAAAAATTGCCTATTTTGTAACAAAGCCAATACAACTCACTAAAGTAGGATGCTAATCTAATTTTTAATCTGGTTTTAGACTTTCTTTAAAACTTATAGTTTTTTTCGGCAATGACCTTTATAATTAATAAACACTAGCTGTTTTTATTTTACTTTTTCTAGTACATTATACATGTTTATCCAATTCAAAAATAATTGTATAACAATTATAACTATACAAATTTAGTTTCTTTATTTCAATATTAGTTTCGAAATCTTAGTTTTATAATTTGTGTAAGAGTTTAGTTTTATTTAACGTAAAAATAATGTGGATTTTTTATTTTAGCTTTATTTCAGCAAGAAAGTGTAAAATATCACAAATCCTTATAATTTGTAATTATTAAAATGAAATAATTGCAAATTATTTTGAAACCTTTTATACTTACATATGTTTTATAAATTCACATTAGATTTATTTTTTTCACACAAATTTTACTACTACTGAAAAGCTTATAGGGATGAGAAAAAAAAAGAAAAATATTTACATACTATTTGAGCGTAGCAAACCTATAAAAACTATGTATTTCTAATTATCATTTGGACTACTACCGAGATATTATTAATCACTATTTAGCAACAAAATTAATTATAGTCTACATAGTTTACAATATATACACGTTATGGTTAAATAATAACAACTACTTATAACAACTAATGTCTAATATATTTATTTTTAAAGAATACAATTAGTAGCATGGTCCCTAAATAATTTTCACTATTATATGAATTGAACTATAGGACTTTGTGCATAAGTAGTAGTTTAAGTAAAATTTAGTGTTCGTCGAATTTTAAATTGCTGTAATAAAGTAGTATTTTCAATAGATACAACACAAGTCATCTCATCGAACTAATTATTATTAAATAAGATGTTTAACAGCAAGGATACGCTTATTTCAACGTAAGCCACAATATATATTTTTTTATTTCATTAATATAAAATGGAATAGAATTAAAGAAGCTAATGTTTGATTTACATTCCATGACATGTAGTTCTCAAAAAAGTATTACCCTTTAGTTTATCAATATAATTTGGTATGTATTGAATAGCGTGCATTAAAACAAAAATTAACTCTAAACAAATGTTTATCAATCTACATTTTTGTAATATTTTTTTTTTGTTAAGAATAGACTTGATGGCTAAGAGGCCAATAGCTGTAAGTCCAATTTTTCTTAAAATCATTTTATTAGTCTATTGGGTTAATCTGAGTCCTCTTTACAATTGGACCGAATATTACATTTCAAATACCACTGCTAACATGGCTCTTTGATACTTAAGTTGTTGTGTTTATAGCGCAAGATTGGTTTTACAAATTAAAAATCCTAAATTAATGGGGCTTACAATAATTATTTTATCGTGACCTAAATATTAAGTGGACAAATATAAATAGTTCGGACTTGTTATTTTTGTCAAAAACTAGAAAAACTTTAAACTACTTTTCTATAAAATTAAGTATTTGGGACTTACAGTTTTTGGACTCTTAGCCATCGAAGTATTGAAAGTAAATTATAAATTCAGAATTGTACGGTAAAATTAACGTAACATCATAATATAACGTTTCATGTAAATTGTTTGAATATTAAATAAAATATAGACATAATTGAATGTTATAACTATATCATGTACTACATAAAGATACTAGTATACTTGAATATATTAGTACAATTCTGTACTAATATATTCAAGGTATAATATTCTGGTATAATCTGGTATATTCAAGGTTTAATATTCTGTGGTGCTCTGATAAAACGTCTTATATTCAAAATAACTATTTGTAGTAAAATTAATTTCGACTTTGAATAAAACTTGAGGAAAAAAATTATATTTAAATAACTTTTACAATAAACATAAAATGTATAACTAGTTGACTACAATATTTTACATGAGAAAAAAAAACAATTCATCCCTTATAATATATTTAACCCCATTTTGCAACTTTGGGACTTAAGACCTTTTATCCAAACACCACAGACTTATATTGGTACCTATTTAATTTATCAAATACGTTGTATACTATAGTTATATATTTTTTTTATAATATAGTTATACGTTTGTATTAAAATATCACTAACTATGTTAATAAACTATTTTCCATAATAATAATTTAGATTATTTACCTATTCTACAAAAAATAAAAGGCATACAACTTTAAGAATGTTATGTTTAAAAACTCAAGACATTAATTAACAAAGTTATATGGTTTAAGAATATGGTCAAGTGGGGAATTGTAAACGAATGGGGAAAATGTAAATGCATTTTTTTAAATAAATTAATCAATATTTTTCAATTTCAACACCATACTATTTACTATAAGATGTTAATATATCACATCACTAAATAAAAAAGGAACACTATTTATTCTTTCTATACAAAAAATGTCAATTACATATGCCTCGTTTGTTTAAAATTACCCCAATTACCCCAACTTGACCCTCAATTAATATTAAATAGGCAATTTTTTTTTAAATTATTATTTTTTAAATCCATTATAAATTCTACAAAACTAATAATTTTAATATATCTCTGGAAAAAATATATATTGTATTTTACATAATACACATACACATTTGGTATCAAATATTATACAAATGCTTCTGATTCCTTAATGGTAAACATAATACTACCATATAAATTACATTTTTTTTATATAGCATTACATTATTGACAAGAAAATAGATTTAATTAATAATTGTTTACTATTTTTCATTTATAAATTTGTATAATATATTATTTTTAATTAACGTACATCAAATGTTTAATTTTCAGAACTTTAAAGAGACATTATATAGTTAAAATTGTTTTAAGTAGTTAAGTTAAGTTAGTTAAGTATAATGCTTGATAAAATTGGAAAAACAATTATAATTTGTGCGTTTATTATTTTATAACTTTTGTCTCTTGTAGGATGCTATCTGAATCGGTACACCGGTAATCAATATTTTTAAATTTGAGTTTTATAATAACTCTGTGTTTTTATTTTCATACATGAAAATATGTATTTATTAACATAAAGCATAATTATCAAATTAAGAAAACACAAAACTCGTATAGGTATAGTGGTATAATAAGGAGCCTTAGGTTAGATATTTACTTATATTTACTCCGCCAAATTTTACCAATTTTCTACTTATATAGCTTTAGTTTTCACACCCTGTTTTTAAGAGTTACGATGAAGTCAATAGGATGTCACACTAAACGAAATAATAATGTCATGTTTATGTGCTTTACGTATAGCTCAATATTATGATAACAGTAATATGAAATAGTATGTCATGTGACAATGTAAAAAGTAGTGACCATAAGCTTTAATAAACAATATAGGAATGTATTGTATGTTTTTCTATAGTAGGTGTACAATGGACATTTTTTTTTTAGTGTGCATAGCATACAGAGTACTATGGAAGATATGGCTATAAACAGAGTTTGGATTATATAACGTTATGATTCGAACGCTGTTTTTAAGCACTTCGAGTTTAGTAGTATGTAAATAAAAAAATGGGATTTTTAAACCAAAAATATAAGAAGAATTTGAGATGACCCGGTGTGGTATTGTTATTTTGATATCTTTTCAACTCAAATCTCAAACGACTAATTTATGCCAGTCAGCAATTTGTCTTCGTGGAGCATTCATCACTTCTTTCCAGTGACGTTCTGCCGTTGCACATGGGTTATCTGGATGTCCCATTAACACTCTCCCGATGATCTAAATACATAAAAACAAAAATTAGATACTACAACAGATACAATTATTATGAATCTCAATTAACTATTTCATCGTCCATATAATTTTGACATTTAATAGACACAGTAAGCCATATAAAAGTCTCCTACTAGGAAGGTAGGACGAGTGCAAAGGATGTAGAAAAATGAAATGAAACGGCAATGACTCAGGATTTTATAGATCGAAATCGCTGGAGAACTTTGATAGTAGCTTCAAAATAATTTGGTTTCTTCCATTTGATTTATATGATTCATATATATACTTTAGATTTGTGACTTACTTCATTTTTAGTAACTCTGTCATGATCGAAAACGCAAAACTCTATGCACACATTTTGCAAATCAACCACTGATGTTGGTAAATCAAATACAAACGACTCATTGTAAACTGGATTTAAAGTGCGTTTTTTCATATGTGTTCTCTTTTTAGAAATACGCGTGCCATCCACCAAGAAGTTAATTTTTACAAATGGATCTAAAAAATACAACATATTTTTACAAGTATTTGTATAAAGACTAATTCTATAAATATTATAAACCATATTTAACCTGTATAATCAACAAGATAAATGAAAAAAAAAACTTACCAGCTAATCCGGTTAAATCCATTTTTGGCAAATTTCTAGCTTTTAGAACGACTACCGTAACTCGTCTTGTTGCGGGTTGCCAACACAAAGACACCAATAACTCTCCACGATTTGCAATTTGTGTTTGCTAAAAAACAAATTATTTATTATTAAAAGACAGTCTAAAATATTGTAAACATAATTCATAACTAAAAAATGGAATATTTATTATTTAAAAGCTATGGTTATTTAACTTTTCATTATAAATTCATATTCAAAATATAATTCTATATATAGGTATATATAGAAAAACTTGTACAGACCATCAAGAATATAAATAACAGTTAATCGAGATCGATAGTAAGGTTTGGTGGAAGCAGTAATGCTTACATGATCTATAGAATTTGAATACATGGTTTTAATAATATAGTTAACAATTATACATATCGAATTGATATTTTTTAAATGTTTTTTTTAATTAAATTTATGTCGTAAGACAATCATTTCATATAACATTAAAAAAAATTAGGTTTGTTAAAAAAATTCATGTCCTTAGTGTGAAGACCAAAGAATCATTTAACTCTCCAGCCAAAGATGATTTAAACACTTTAAAATAGGAATCATTAGAAAAATGATCTTAGCTACTTCGATTAATTTTGTTTTGTGTCAAAATATCGACTTATACCTACAACGTAATTGCTTTAGATATGGATTATAAGTGACTCTTTAATGAATATCATTTATTTCTATAAACGCATACACATATCACATACTTTGATACTGCGAAGAACAATGTCTTTTTGAAAGGATACTTGTTCTTTTTCAATTGAGTCGAGCACACCTTTTTCGTTTAGAGTGAAAAATACTTCGCCTATTAAACTGTCCCTGGAGTAACGATCAAAACTGAGAACGGCAAAGTGCAATGTCAAAGACTGGAAAAATAAATGCATGTATAAATATTTGTGTGTGTGTGTAAATATTTTTGTATGATTGTATATATGTATTATAATTAGAAATTACTTGGAGTTTATTAGTTTGTATTCCGAAAAATGTAAAGTCCTCGTCGTATACTGGATTTCTTGTTTTTCTTAGCACCCGAGTCTTGACTTTATGTTCTTTATCGGGCAACAATTGCAACTTCACGTAAGGATCGCTCGTACCAGTATTTTTATCTTTTGGTTGTAAGTCCATGCATTTGTTTATATTAACTAGAAGAACTTTTTTATCTTTCTTGTACCTGTAAATAATAACATTATTATGATTTAATAATAATGTCGATGTTTGATTGATTACAAATAATATACACCAACCGTAATTTGAAAAACAGCACGCCCATTTTACCAGTCCCGTCATTTAGCCCTGTTTCTGTATTCTGAGAATTAATGTTTTTTGACGATAACTTGTTGTCTATTTCATTTTCATGAACAACTCTATAAAAATAGAAAACATTACTTTAGTGAACAGTAAACAATTAACAATAGTATGAGCTTTTATTAATTGACATTCGTGGTATTTAAATCTTTGTAGCCAGTGTTTGTATGGCCCCCCCGGATACCCGGGGACCCTGAGATTTTTGCCCTATTTATTCTTAAAATAGGGTCCCCGCGGGACCACGCCAATAGAAAAAATTATATTAATTATTGTTCAATTTATTTTGGTAAAAAAAAAAGAAGAAAAAAAAGGAAATTCCTGAAATAATTTTAAATAATGTTATTATAATGTTAATACTGAAATATTGTTGACGTGATATAATAAAACTTAGGTTTTACCCCTATGGCCTATAGTTAATACATTTTCGTTCTCTTGATCAAAATCAAACAATACAATTAATATAAATACTTGGAAAAAATGAGATAAGCGTTGGTCACGATCACCAAGGCTAAACACAACGATAACTCGTTAATAATTGGCCTTAGAAAAACAAGTTGTTAATGGACATTGCTTGGTTGGGTCCTTCAAAATATAAAACAATAGCTTCACTTTCATTAGAAGAATTTCTATCTAACTTGCTACGTAAAAAACTATATTGGCTAGAGTAGATCGGAAAACATTACTTGTTGAATTGAAACCGTTTGCAGAGCAATACTCTAGCTTTTCTACCCCAAGAAGATGTATATCTGTATATCGGGAATTTAATGAAGAAATAATAGCTACAGAATGTGCGTTTCAAAACTAAACATTCTTAAACAAAACTTAGGTAGTCAAGAGCATCTTGAACCATTGATGTCCTTATATATAGAAGATGATTTAATTTAATTTATTTTTAAAAATGAAATATTTGATCAATTAGCATCATTTGGTCGGGAATTACAGAGATTATTATTTTAACTTGTTGAGTATATAAGTTTCATTGTTCCATATTATTTTTATCCTGTTAATTATTATATTATTATGTTTATTTTATGTGATTATTATTATAAAAATTGTGAAACAGTTATAATATATGAATAATATTTACAACTGGTCGGTTAAACATCAACCAATTCCATTGCTAATACAATTGATTTACTTCGATTTAGATACTCAATACTAATCAACAGAAGTATATTAAGTAATAAACTAGTCAACTTACGATAAAGCATGTGTTGGAGGTTGCACGGGTTTTTGTTCACAAGTAGGACTTATGGTTGGGGAATGTTTTGAAGTTTTTTCTGATCCCGCGGGACTAACGCTTCCATCGCCCTGGAAAATAATGTAAATAAAAAATTAACACCTTTGTAAATACTATTTCAGAAATAAACCGTACAACAGGGGTTTTACTGCCTGTCGGACTTGGACTTTTCTTCAGATAATGCGATCCAGATGTATTTTTAACAGCCTTTACAGCTGTAGTTGGCTTCCGATGATAAAAAGCCAAATGCGGTTCCGATGCAGCTGTCGGCAATTTACTTTTACTTCTAAACCATAGTAACTTCTTTTTGGCGCACACGTGACAAGCAAACAATATGATGGCGAAAAATGTAGCCGCACATGCACTTATAAACGCGATACTTCCATAATCTAAAAACAAATTTGAAAATGTATAACGATTAACGACTTGACTAATATGTATATATATATATATATATATTTAAATTTTGTTCATATGTACATTTGATTTGGACATTATTCCTTGAAAATCAATACCTAAAGCTATGTTAATTTGTGATGCCGGCAAGAGCCTTTCCTTTCACGTTTTCATTTATTGGGTATTTTAACGTGTATATTTATATACATTTTAATATATTATATACATGTATATAGCAAATATATATTTTTAATTATTTTGAATAATAATTTGTTGATGACATTATTTCTTAAACATAATTTTTCAAACAACTATTATATTTATAATATTTTCTACCGAACATCATCGAAACGTTTTGGAAAATACTTATATTTTAAAATTGCTATGTGCCGTGTATATTATAATAATAGGCATTAATATGTATGTTAAGTACACAACGACAACAACATAATGTCTTAAACTGGTTTTTACTATCATTTTGGTCATAAATAAAATATTTTAAACTAATCAGGCACACAACATATAAAACTATTTTAACAGTGGAAATGTATAATTTCCCCAAGTATTTGAGTAATTTTGCTTAATAATTGTATTATGCCGTTAACATTTGTCATTGAATATTAAAGGAGATCTTAAACAGCAAGATAAACTAGTTAATACATTTTCATGTTTTATTATTATTTTTAATTGTTTTAAAACCTATTTGAACGGTACAGGCAGTATAAATTAAGTAACTCAACTACAAAAGATAAATATGAAAATATATTTAATTAAAATACAATTTCATACAATAAAGTATCAATATTAAATTGTGAGTGATAACTCTAAAATGCATGATTTTTTTTTTGTTCTAAAATAATTTTTTCGGGTAGTTCTTAACGTGAAAAATACATTTAGAAATTAAATTTTGATTGTAAAAGCTAAAAAAGTTGAAAAAGTTATAAAAAAGAGATTAGCTATACATTTTCAAAACACATACACCGATACGCTTTCAGTACTTTAATAACATCAATCGGTTAAAATTAAAATAAAACCGTTTTTTTTAACAGTTTAAAATGATAATAAATAGGGCCAAGAGCTAAATTTGACCATAATTTTAATTACATCAGCGCGTTACAATAAAAATAAGAAAATATAATTATTACACATTTTTATGAAATAACTCGCATTTTAATATAATTTTTCCTACAGCATTTATTCAGAAAACCTATTCATTATATTGCCAATAAATAGAAAATTATTAAACATTTTAATAGTTTGTTTATAACTCTAGCAAGTTATAAAGACAAGAAAAGACTAGCAGATAACAGAGAAGATTGGTTGAAGCGACAAGACGAAGCCTTTAGACAATACAAAAAAAAAGTTTGTAACACTAAGAAGATACTACTTTTAAATAGTATACCCAATTGGTGGTTAATTTAATTTAAACGCTAATGATGAGCTAAAAAAGTATTGTTTGTACAATATGTTTTTTATTTTTTGTCACATCTTGCGATTAATTATTAACAACTACACTGCCTATCTAAATAATGCTTCAACGCCAACTATGCTGGCAATATAGTGTAATATTCATTAATTTATTAAAAGAAATAGATACTGTGTAATCATATTTTTATCTTAAAATACATTGTCGATTAATAACCAATAACTTTTGGACATGTTATAATATAAAACCATGAAAAGTATCAATGGGGTAGATTGTGAATTTTTAGCACTCCCATTTGAACTAACGACCTACATGAATTTCCTTTAAATGAAAATCCATCTAATACACTAGTAATGGTAATAAAATCTCAACGGGAGACCGAAAGTTTTTTCTACTGATCGTTTAGAACCAACAACGACCAAGATACGATTATTATCTAAATTATAGATTGAATTTTTGAAAGCAAAAATGTTCTTCTACCCGCGTCGGATAGCTTTGTTCAAAATATTATTTTATAGTTAACCTACTTATAAAAATAACAGTATACATTTTTATACTAACACAACATTTGTAATCCATGAAAACAACTATTAAAGTGCAATAAGGTCAAACGTTATCAGTAATACTCTATTTATCGACAAATGGTTGATTATAGACTTCCTTTTTAGATCATACTTCGCGAGGCTGTGTTCGTTAAATCTGCAAGTTATTCTATTTGTTTAAAACTCTATTAGCACACTATAACATATATATTATTATAATATATGTAATCTTATATTAAAAGTTATAATATAGGTAAGATTATATTTTTATTTAAAATCACTATGTAAGTAATTAATGAAAATAATTTCAGTTAAATATAAATCCTGCCTAATTCATAAAAAATGAATTTTACTCATCTAACTTAGCCTAGAATAAAAATATGAATATGACTGAAAAATTATCAACAATTTTTAAACAGTTAGACAACAAATAATATTGGCTAGTATATGGATTTATCAGTTGTGGAATATTGTTATTTATTTTAAAAAATATTAAACGGTACCTGAAGTTGATGTGCATCAAACATTTTTTTTTGTTTACTTTCTTTAATTGATTAAATTAGGTACACCTATTGATTAACATAAAAGTAAACACAAGTTCGTGCACAAAATAAATAACATTATTAATTTAAAAAAAGAAAAATTAAAATTTTTTTTTTTTAGGATATTAAATAAATTTAAAATGTGGACTATATTGAAAGCATACTGTAAAAAGTATTTTTTAAGTTAAATGAAGGAGAACATTTTGAAATTCGAGCGGAACAAGCACATTTTTTTTAGTAATTATAGTTTAAAAAAGGGCATTTATTCACGAATTTATTTACTAATACACCACTGTAGTCTGTATATAATATATTATATATATTTATTTATTATTTACTTATTTTTTCCTATACAGGCGCAAGTTTCCAAAAGAAAATAATATAATCAGTGATAAATGCATATAAAACCAAACTAAATAAGCTACTTGACATAGAAAAAGATTAGTTCTCACATTATTGTTATAATATTATTTTTTGTGCGTTATTGTATTAAGGTAACTGTCTCGGTTATTAATTGTCTATTTATCATAATACTTTTGAAAGTCGGAAAGTACAAAACCATATATTTGACGTCAACACGATAAGTATAATATTATGCATCGAACATACGCGTACATTCGTATTAAAGGGAAGACGGTAATCGAGAGGTAATATGGTTTTTCAGGTGTATTAATATTCTTGTTATGATATTATAACGTTATCTCAATGTAATTATAATATGTTAGGTATGTCGTTTTTAATCTGAATCGAGACGACCATTTGGCACTTACTTGTTAACGCGTCGAACTCGGTTTTCTTAGCCACGGGCAGCTCAAGGCCTGGGTTAACAAAACCCGTAGCAGGCATAGCGGACGGGTACGGCGACAAGGCGTGTATGGTGCGCTGAAAAGCTACCAAACAACTACGCCAAGAGATGTACACAATACAATGGCGTGCGGCGGGTGGGGGTGCGTTCAATAAAATGAATGATCCTCACCCGGCCGGCGTGGCGGCCACCACCCGTGGAAAACGGGCAAGCGCGTCACACGCTCAACCTTAAACACACTTGTTAAACGTAAACGCTGGAAACGTGGCCAGACGGTATTTCGGATAACACAAACAAGGCACGACAGTGTCGGACTAGATCGAGGTAGATGTTTAAAAATGTGATAAAACGAATACAACTATTATTATTATATGAATAATTATAATTCGAAAAACAAGTTTTGTTTCTATTAAATTTTACCCCCAGACTCAAAATTAGCACTCCCAAAAATTCGAGCCCCATTCCTTGATTTGTACGCATAAAATTTTAATAATGTTCATACTCAGTTGAAATTTGTTATTTTAGAATATTTTTGTTTTCAAATATTTTATATTATATCTTATAGTTTGAAAATTGAAGATAAGAATTTTGATTAATCAGGTATACATAGTTTTTAGCACTCCTTAAAATGTAGGTCTAGTTGCGCGGTTTTACTGGTTGATTAATGGTTGTCTTTCAAAACAAATATAGACTCGTCCTATTGTCGCCCAACCGTAACGTAGATATTATTACATTCTTCGGGGAGTTGCTGTATTTGTTCAGAGGACAAAAGCTATTCTATTTGCATTTCGTAGCGAATTAAGAAACACGCCATGTTAACATGGTAGCATGTGATTTTAAAATAGTATTCTCAGACCGCTTTAGTCGGTAAGCTCTGCTTTTATTTTATAAGAAGCTGCTAGAATATAAAAACAAGATTTTAGCACGCCACTTTATAAATCGTTGTAGTAAAAAAATAGTCCCAATCCCCTTTATAAGACAACAAATTTACAACAATCGTATTGTAACATTTTTTTTTCATCTTGTATATATAGCTTTATAATAATTGATAATTTCATCGATTTTAATGTTAGTAGAAATTATAATAGTACGGTTATATTTTTCACAGTTCTATACGTCCATTTAAGGTAAGCACTTTCGGGCAACAACGTCAATGAAATAACTTGAATATATATTTTACTATGGTCAATACGAGATCAATCTACACAAAAATGAAATAGCTCGCAATATTTTAAAAAAACCAACGTTAGACGGTTAAAATAAGAATATTATACACAACATGTTTTTTAAATGTTAAGAAAGTTTTAAAAACATTATTATGACATTGTTTTTATTATGATGTAAGGTAATTTGAAATAAATTTAGTTTTATTTATTTTAAACAAAAGTATTTTGAGACACAAATACAATAACATACTGAAGAGTATTTCAGATACTTATTTTAAATAATGCCTATTCTGTTTGATAGCCAACCACCGTTGCCCATAGTTAAATATTACCAAGAAACTCCATTTCAACCTATAATGATAATTTTTTAGATTTATAATTTATAGTTAAACAAAATTTTATGGAGGGTAGTGTAAGGTCAGGCGAGGCAGGTACTTGGCTGATTTTTTTTTCATAGTCCGCCAGTTTCTTTTAAATTCTAATTGACGTACTTCTATGTTCTGTAAATACATTTTTTAAACTATTTAAATAGCAAGCAGTACTGCGTTAGAATATATTTGTTTATATTATTAAAACAAATGATATTTCAGGCAGCACGTTACAATTACAAATTAAAATTAATCGTCTGTATAAATTAATTACCTCCATTATCTTCTAATATTAAAAGACAATCGTGCACTATTTAGAATTAATAGCAATTTATAAAGAAACAAAAAGTAGAATCAAATAAAATATTTGTATTATACAAATGGTATGAAAAAGAAATTGAATACATTACACTTGAACAGTTGTGTATGTGTGTGTAATATGTATGTATTGTCAACAGCCATGTGAAACATAGGTAAGTTTATTCACGCAAAATTAATTAAACAAAAAATCCTATGTTTAGTAAAAACATTATAATAACATGTAAGTAACAATAATTTAACGAAACAAATTAACAAACACTGCAAATTACGTCTATTGATTATTAAAATACAACAATACAATTTGTATTTGTATTAGTATTTTTATATAGATATGACTAGTTTAACTCGTTTTCATTATAAATTAACACGAATGTGAGACATTGATGTGCTTTAGTGTCATTCACACAAAGGTATCACTGTCATTATATTCTCCGAATAATTCAAATCATTTTTCTCATTTAACTATAACAACAGCTATAAAGCACATTTCAAGAGAGTTCTTTATAAATTATACATAAATCATACACATCTAAATAATATTATAGATATAGATAAATAAACCTAATAAAAATAACCTAAAATAATTATTATATTTAGACATAATTATAATGCATACATATTCAATACGTACACGTGAATCTGAAAGTCTATGCAGCTCCCAACTTGTGAATTTAAGGATTAAAAAATAAAATATATATATATATATATATATATATATATATATATATATATATATTGTTTAGGTAGAAAGCTTCCTTATGATTTAAAACTAACAAAATGTACATTATTTACTAATAATAAGACTATAATAAATGTAATATGTTTAATTTGGGGTTAATTGGTTAATGTGATCATGCTATGATATATAAGTTTATGCATTTTATTAAACAATAAATAATCTAACAATACATGTATTATTGTAATATCTTTTGGTTTATTAATAAATTCGACGATGGTAATATTATATTTGATAAAATCTTTGTGGTAGTAATGTATTTCAAACGTAAACCTTCTTGACAAAACCGGATTAGTATCCAGCCAATTCAGCGAATGTGGAATCCATCTCATCAGCCAAAGACTTGTATCTGTCTTTGTTGAGGCCGAGTTCATCTGTAAAACGGTACATATCCATTAAAATAATATCAAACTTTTCTAAAACTTGTCATATCTTGACATCATATCAAACATATTTTCAAAAAAATGTAATAAGCTTGGCGAAATTGTTAATAAAACAAAAAATATTGATGTATAAGAACAAAAACAATGATATACCTATGTATATAAATGTAGTTAAATGTTCTTTATAGTAATAATAATAATTAAATATAATACAATTCCGCCAATCATATATTATTAGTTATTGTCAAATAAAAATATCCTTTTACGCACATTTATCATTAAAACTTTGTAATTAATGTAAGTTATATTTATTACGAACATTGAAACACAAACTTACTTTGATAAATTAGTTAACAGAATACAAATTCTCAAAATGAATTGCAAACAATTCATTTTGACAACATTTGATTCAATTAACAACAATTGTGTTGTTAATTTATTTAATAAAAATTTAATTTATATCGGAATCTACTTATTTTATTAAATTTAAATGTCTTCAATAATATTAAACTAGTATTATACCTGTTATATTATAGAAGCAAATTGTACAGCAACAACCAGAAGACAAATCGCAATAAAACAAAAAGAAGCAAAATAAAATAATAAAAATTAATTTAAAAAAGCATTTTTTTTATAAAGAACTACGTTTGTTTTAGTTATAATATAATTATAAATTAATAAAAAAATAATGTTAGACAAATCCTATTAGATTAGTAGCCAGTGAGTTCAGCAAATGTAGAATCCAAGTCATCTGTGATGTCTTTGGACTTTTCTTTCTCTTTGATAAGATCATCTGAAAAACAACACATCAGTGTACAAACATACAAAACTACATAATCGACGTAACAAAGAAGCATTGATAGTTGTTGCAAAATAAAAAAGCAATAGCAAAATGTACCACTAATATAATTTTAAATTTCAAAAACCAAAATTATAATTGAAGTTAACCGCGAAAAATAAAATATTTAAAATATCCTTTTCAAATCATTTTGGATAATTATTAATATTATATAGATTAAGAGGTCTTTAATTAAACTATTTAACTGACCTTCAAGTCTGTCAACTTCTTTTTGCAATTTCTTGACTGTCTTTTCAGCAAACTCAGCACGAGCTTCGGCCTAAAAAAAACCATATATGTAAAATGTATATTTATACCTAATGAAATTTGAATTAATATCATTTTTTTTTCGTTACAATAACAACATTAATAAAAAAGTGTAATTACCTCCTTCAATTTGACAGTCAATTGTTTGATTTGTCGCTTATATTCTTCCACTCTTTGATTGGCCTATATAAATATACTTGATTAGTAGGCAATTCAAAAATAATTACTTTTTTCTATTGCTTATAACCTTTTCTTCTGAAACCTCCAATGATTTCAAACTGTTTCCTACAACTTTCAATTCTTCCTCCAATTCCATGATTTTTCTAAAATATGACATTCATATTAAATCAATTGGACCATTCAACCTAATTAATGAGTATTATACACATGTAATCAAAATTTACTCACGAATCTCCAGATTTTACTCGGTCTTCAGCAACCTCCAGTTCATCTTCAACAAAGGCCAGTTTTCTTGAAACCTTTAATTTATAAGCGATTTTGTTAAAAAAAAAAACATTCGGTTATTATAGGTGTCATATAGGTGCTAGATAAGTTTTACCTCGTCGGATTTTCCGTCAGCATCTTCAGCCAAAAGTCTTGCTTCCTTCAATTGGTTAGTCAGTTGATCCATACGTTCCTCATCTTGTTGGCTACGGTTTTCCAATACTTTGCACATACTGGAAACAATTACATTATTATAGATCTTCCATACATCGCTTATATCATTTATATAGTTCTATTAAAAAAATACCGTTGAGACTCATCTGCCGCCTGAGAAGCTTCAGCCAATTTTGAGGCAGCAGCTTGAGACCTTTCTTCGGATCTTTCGAGGTCCTCTTCAATCATTTGAACTTTTCTGTTTAAGGCAGCAACCTCGCTTTCGGCCTTTAAAAATAATTATTTATAGCAAATTGTGTGTATTTTAACTAACCTAACAATAACTACTGCGAATTAACTTACAGCAGTCAACGATTTCTCTCTTTCTTCTAAATTCTTAATAGCTTCTTCCAACTTGTTTTTATTGGTATCCAAATCGCTTTCTACCTGAGTCAATTTCTTCTGACATTCTCTCACATCTTCGTTAACCTAAGTATAAAATTTTCTAATTATAATACTAACACTTATATTCAGTAATTTTCCATTAAAAATTTAATACTTTATCTGCACGAAGGTTTGCGTCCTTGGCCTGGCCTTCACAAGTGTCGGCTTTGTCCATGGCGCTATCCTTCTCCATTTTCATGGCCTGCATCTTCTTCTTAATCGCGTCCATCTTGGATGTTTGTTCTTTCTATCTAACTAAACGGTTTATTTGTTGATTTGTAGGTTTATTTATAATGTTTTGTAACTGTTAGATTAAAATTAGTATCAAAATGTTTTGAACAGTGATAAAAAGCGTCGCACTTGGTAGTCAAAGTATTAATTCCCGTGACATTACGAAACAGATGTTGTCACCTTGTACAAGCTCTACTTATTTCGTTAAAAATTAAACTAAATGTACGATTTACGTGTGTATCTATTTTAGTGTGTTTAGTAAGTCCTTGCAAATGGATATTATTATGTAGATATAAAAAAAAATTATTTTACACTACATTTTTTGTTGACTTTTTATAAAATAAATTATTCCATTCTATCATTAATTACTGTATTTTAACAAGTAAATGACTAACTAAAAAAATATTTTTTTAATGTTCATTGTCCATAATACAAATAAATATTATATTTAATTATTTATAATTTGATACATTTTGTTAATCTTTATTTATGGCACAGTTTTTCCAGGCGATCTTATAAAAAACTTAGGTCGTATAATGTTGTGTAAAATAATTAATTTAAAATCCTAACAATACGGCTACGTACATTTACAGTTAACAGTAATTTAATTTAAACTATAATGTATGTTCAAAAAAAAAAATAACACGAAATAGTCAAATGCTGTCATAGACTAATTTTGATTTAAAACGAAAACGCTTTTAATAAAAATGTTTCTATATAACTAATTAAATACAAATTCATGATTAAAAACGGTTATTCAATACGTGACGTTATAGGATATAATTGTATTACACATAAATATATATTTTTTTTTAACTAATGTGTTTTATTGTATTCTTTCTATATAATATGTTTATATTTTAATTATTCAAATGCATGTATAACATGTAATGTTATCAATCTAAAAATCCATTCTAGTTAGAGACTATGTACTTGTAACGTTAACACGCTAATGAAATTTGTAAAACTGTTTTTTCTTAACTAACGATACAAAACCGTTTGTAGGTCAAGTTATTTTAAAAAATAGCGTATTAATAGAACTAGACAAATTATAATAAAATTCTTATACACATGTTTGCACTAGTTTACGTCTATAAAAATATGTTTTAGTATATTAATTATTTTTATTTATTTACTTGTAAATAGACGCCCAAAGACAATACTGTAGTGTATTACAGTAGTGTATTATAAATAGGGACATAAAAACAATTGATTGAGGAATTAATTATATTAATTTGAGTTTATAACGCGATACAATATTAAGATTTATTGTCATTATAATAGGTATTAACTATTAAGTGTTTTCTAGTTGGAAAAAAGAAAATGATTGCTAGGTGTATAATATTATAATAATATGGTCTTGTACATGACGCTATTCATCCCCATTTTTAAGACCTGCATGTTCTTCTTTAATTATTAATATTCAACGTGTAAAATAATCAAATGGATTTTGAGCTGCATTAACTATTTCAACTTTTTTTATAGACTATTTGTATATTAGAAAGGATACATCTTCTCAAAGCCGCCCCCTCAAATCTTCACTAAGTCTCGGCAATAAATTACTTTTAATTTACCAAATATTGTACTGTTGTAAAAAATTCAGTTATTTAAAAAAATATATAATACAGAAAAATATATTGTTAGTCCAACTAAAATTATGGTTAATACATACATTTCTAGTTGGAATAACCAACTAAATAGTTAGGGCAACTAAATGCATAGTTGCTTTAACTAACAACTTAGATGGCTCAAATATATGGCCCTATATGTAGTTATGTAACCATAATTATAATTAGACCAACTATGTATTATTTTCTGCGTATAAATCGGAATAATAGTAATTTTTAAATAATATCTATACAATTATAAGCCTTCCACAGTTTTACTACAAACAGTTCACAAGTATAAAAATATACAATTACTTTTTAATTTAAACTTAAAAATTTTTTAAACAAATAACAATAATAAATTGAGATCAAATATCGTAAATTAGTGCCACGGTCAATAAACTATGGATGCATAATATATTTTCATTTCTATTTTAAATGATTCGAAAGCCATTATAAAATATTTTTTTACAAAGAGTGATACTCCATAACGTTACGTCACCTCTTCCCCAATCTTAGAACAACCCTAACCTTTTTAATTTGAAAAATAACCCGAAAGGAGTATCATTTTTAGATAGGTACCTAGTTGTTCATTTATGCTGCATTAGTATTAATTATTATTATTTTCATAAGGTACTTTAAAAATAATAGTTAAATAATTATAGTTTTCCTTGATTGTTTGGCGTTAATAACTTGTTATTAAATGATTTGGTTATTAAGTTTGTCCTAATATACATTTGTTCAAATATATTTAAATAGAACGTAGGTACCTAAAATTAATTTGAAACGTTGATCGGTTGTATACTTGTATTATACAACTACTACAGGTACATACAATTTGTATATAATAATGTTGTATACTACTAATTATTAAAAAGGTATTTTAATATTTATAATCGATTTAAAAATGTGTATTTGTATAAAATTAAAATTTAAAAAATTGTTTACAAATTATAAATAAACATGCTTTCTCCCTTATTATTTATTAGTAATTATCCGTCTAGAAAAAACAAGCTCTCGTGGAATCAGACAAAAATAGCAAAGTTGCTAATGTTCAAGTATAAAATAAAAAAATAAAGCAGTCTGGTGCCGCCATTTACAGTGGGTAAACCGATACCACTGCGCGGCACCACGCAGCGGACGTTTAAAAATAGTCACGCGCCACCGTAGTGGTATGGTATGTGCTAAGCCGACCCAAATTCCTACTGCGCACCTCACCGCCCTCACTCGTCAAAATTTGACTTGCTAATTATATACTTTTTTCGATTTTAATTACAAAACCTTTTCAAACGCCAGTTGGCCATTGCAATAATCGCATTAGGAAACAAAAAACACGCCAATCAATAACACAATACTAAACAAAAAAATACACATAGGACTATTGGTAAACTGTAACTACAGTATTAAATTAAAAAAAAAAAACCCCTAGGTACGAAGTAAACAAATTTAACCCTCATGCTACGCTTTTGTCAAAAGTCATACTAAATTATTGCGTAAACAGGGGTCAACGGTGTAGTAATTAGGTTCTGTGTGCTGAACAAAAATATCATTATAATATGTGTCATCGCCAAATCTTAAATATAGATTTAGTCATAATAAATATCTTTTGCGCTGGATGCTAGCCCACGCCTTACGACAAAATTAACCGTATTGCTTTCGATAAGTTCGAAACTCTACAATAAAAGAGTCAGAAAATATATGCAGTAATTTGCAACCGAACAAAACTAAATCATCAAGTTAAATAATATTATGTATCCTTCACTGTAGGACGTTAATATAGAAGATCAAGTTGACACTCTTGTGATTTTTAAAATAAAATAAAAATTGTAAAATTGCAATCCCGGTTCACTACAAGTTATTACAGAAAAACATAACTAACCACTCGTTATTGGTCCCAAATTTGTCGTTCTAAATCTAAACTTATTTTATAATTATCTTACATTGTGTTATGCCAACAGATATATGAAAAATGGCAGGTAAGTACTTAAAACTATTTTACCCTGAAACGGATCTAAATATAAAAAGTATTATCCAATTAAAAATTCGTGAGTACCTCAATCATACATATATATTTTAACATAGTTGTCTAAGGTTATAATGATCTAATTCTATACAATGTATTATTGAAATAGGCAAATTCAAGATTATCGATTTGTGTTAATCAATTCAGTCGTTAATAAAATAAAAAAATTATTTGAAAGTTAGTGGTAGAAAATAAAAAATTGTTTGAAGTTACCTCCGAAAAATAAACCAAATCTGGACGGTACCACTGACGTCGGTGGGCAGCTGATCCTGGACTGTTGTTGTTCTATATGCGTGATTCCAAATCCGTACTATGTCCCTTCTTCACTCTCACGTGCATCCCACCATTGAATTCGTCAAATAAGAGTGGGGTTAAAGGGAGTAGGAGTGCGAAGACGAGCCAGGAGAGACCGTTAGTAAAGTGATCTGTGTGACCAGTAAGCTTTATATAGCTACATTAACTGGGATATAAACGGAGAAAATTACAGGGTTAAATTTTTGCGTTTGGGTATTTCAAAATGCTTTTATACAATTGTTTTCAATTTCCCAAAAAGTACAAATACGCTATAGCACAGTTATTGAGGTATAATTATTCATTTTACATTAAAGAAAATCTCTGTCAGATTAAACTACTCAACTGTGGCATTTTATTATTCTCTTTTTTACGAGCATTTTGATAGGTGGATAAGCCTACCGGTAAACCGGGCAAATCCCTGTAGGCCCTTTTCTCGATTGGTTTTTCCTACATTTATATACTATACAGTGTTCGCTACTCGACACATAAAAAAAACACAAGGGCTTAATTGTATTACCTATTACTATATAATAGTTTTAAAACATTTCCCCATAAAATTTTAAAGATAAAGATAAATCTAAAATCACAATCGCCAAAATAATAATCGATGAATTATTATTGGGTATTTGACATAATATTCATAAAACCGCATGTTTGTATTAACAAATTTTATAAATACAGGCTTTACACTTTTTATAAATTTTATTTTAATATTGGTTACATTTTCTAAGCTTCAAAAAGTATCTAATTTTATGGTTTGATTTAAAATTTGAAAAGTGTACTAAATGTGCATAATAAAAATAATAAAAACGAATACATTTTGTGTGGGTTTAAAAATGGATGAATAGCAAACCCTCCCATGAGTAGGTCCCGTGCACTTTAAAGTAGCTTTGATTCTCTTTTAATATTATACCAATTTTCTCGGTGATAAAAATATATCCTATCCGCCTCTACTTGATTATCTACCATTAATACTGACTAATTATCCACTGTTATTTCTAGAGCTAATTTTTTAGATAAAAAATATCAATAATATTCAGTTTTATGAGTTGTAAAAATCAAACCTGTGGAAAATAATGAATTTCTAAGAAGAGGCTGGAATTTGTGTAAAGTTTTCTAGGGATCCTACTATCTCCATTTTTATTTTATTACTAGGTAAATTTAGTTAAAACCAGTAGAATTTTAGTGATGTAAAATTCAACATTAAAAAAATTTAAAAGGTGGGATTCAAAAACAATTTTACGATAATTTAAAATCTGTTTTCCAAAATGTCATCGAAACATTATTTGTTTTGTCATGTTAATGGAACTACGAAATGTAGTTCGGTGTGCATAATGAATATTTAGAAGTTTTGAGTGGCAATTTATTCAAAATAATTTAGTATTCACTATGTTTTCGTTTGCAAAGTAGGCAAATCGTATTATAAATACCTAATATAAGGCGTCATTCCTTATTGCTCTATACGAAATCGATAAAATTCATGTAGAGCAAAAAATTTAAAGTAACACAACGGAATTTGTTGAAATATATTATAAAATTGTTTAATATTAATTTGGCTAGCCAATTTGTTGATCTTCAATATTTAAGATTTTATTTCACTCAAAAAGTGTAACATTAATGGGTAACAGTATATATTTACAAGCCCATGCAAACATATTCGGTTGTATACATATGTTTTATCATGCTTGACCCTCATATTACTAATATTTTTGGCTGCTGTTCCTATTCTTCTAACATTACACCAAGTATTTTTGTATAAAAACTGTTAAGATAACTGTGAAAAAAACTATAATATTAACGTCTATTTTGTATAGGTTAAAACCTATACCTAGATTCACACTTCACAGTGTTAAAACTGCAAAATAAACAATGTATATTTAAATTGTGATTATACGTAAATTATATATTATATACTAAGTCAATTATTAAATTTAGTGTAAATTACACTAAACAAAATTACTAAGGCCTATTAATAACGAAAATATTAAAATCTTTAAAGCCTTGTCGACTCAGTGTTGGCTATGTTAAGATCCAAGTACAATAATACTTTCAATGTACTTTATAAGCAAATTGTTCCTGGTAAAAAGTTTCAACTATTTTTTACTAAAAATTAATTCATCTTAGATGACCATTATACATAAAACCATAGGGCTATGTTAATGCAATTCTAAGTTGAAATTGCTCATTGGCTAAATTTTTAATAAAATAAAATCGTAATAATATTTAATAGCTATTATGAAATCTTGCATGAAATAAATACGTAAATGCGAATACTAAAACTAAGCGACGGAAAGTAAAAAATACATTTTAGGCAACTTGCCGAAATCCAACTTACAGCTAAAATAAATACACAGAATAATGGCAATAATCCAGGAATAAAATGTTTAATATTTTCTTATTATTTTACTCATTGTAATCTATAAAATTAAATATGTTTTTATTTTTCTACTGTTATCAAGTAGGTCATGTCTATTAATGAGTATCTTGCCTTTGTATATAAATATGAATAACAAAACATAATTTAAAATTCGCCATTCGCGTATAATAATTTACTTTAATTATGATATAAATAAAAGCAACCTTTAGTAGATACTTCATACAAAGTCATATTAAATTTCTACAATTCACATCCTAGACAGACAAACCAATTTCGGGAGGCTGGAGCCCCCTTACCACCCACATAAATACGCCCTTGTGTATGGATCGCATTGTAAGAATCCGGGGTGAAACTAAAGGAGGTGGGGTTACTTTCTCTTTTCCCCTCAACTGGCTGTCTCAGTTGGCTATACGAGAAAAAAATTGATAAATTGTCAAATTTGATACTCGATAGGCATAAAATGTTTTATAAAATACTATTATTACAATTACTACTTTAAAAATTTGTATTGGAATGGGCATCTAATCACCAAAAGTTGTAAAACTGACCTCCAACAAGTAACAACAATTATTGTAGCTGGAACATTTTGTTAGAAATGGCCAATCTCACAATATGCCTTACTTAACGCCCCAATGATGTAATACCTGATGTAGTAAATATCTATCTAATAACAGAGAAGAAAATGACAAGCTTTAAATTCAAAGTAACGAAGTTTTAGTCCACACCAAGGGGTCCATATACATGTAAGTTATTTATCAAAAAATCTTAGTTCAAAACTATAATATATATATATATATTAGTCAGTGTCAAACCATTAATTTTAGTCTATAATGATCACATAATCTTACTATTTCGATCACAACAAAGATATTTTATTACTGTGCTATTAAATAATATATTTACCATACAGTTTTAGTTATTAATTAGTAATATATATTGTGATATGAAAAATATCCCCTATACCGAACGCCTTAATAAATAGGTATGCCATATGAAGGGTATTCTTATCTTCAACAGCTTAGGTATATTATGTATTTCATTTTAGTAGGAAAGAAATATTTTAGTAAAAATAATTACTGGGAAAAATAATTGCCACACCTCTTTTATTCTTAACTTTTGTGGAGTTCAAATTCCCATATTTTGTCTCACAGCTTGCCGGCACTGACAATACTGAGTTAGTAAATAGCACACCATAACAAACCTTATTTTGTGAATTTATAATATAAAATAAAGTGGGGATATGCAATACCCTTTTATATTTAAGCCATGTTTGTGCATGTGTGTTTTTAGTTTCGATTTAAACCGTTATGGCATAATATTGTTTTAAATATTCCGTTTAAAATATTAATTTGAACTGTACATCGCTTAGTTAGAATACCGTTCATTTTTTACTGATTTGTTTATTGTGAAATGTGAATTAGTGGCTTTCATTTTCTCGTATTTTGTGAGAAATTTTACTAATCAAAATGTCGTCTATGATGTTTCAATCGATATTAATGAACGATGAGTAAGTTGCAATAAATATTAAATATGCACCTAAAAACTACACTTCTATTTGTCTTTGGTTACACCTAATATTGATAATCATTGTAAATAAATCATGACTTACATATTTTTGTCAAAAGAAACTAGAATTACTTTGCTATGTACCTTTTTTTACATTCGTTAGGCTATAATAATATATTAAGAGGCATTTTCGCACAATTGATACTTTTAATATTAAGGGTGCTTAAAAACGACCTATACAATTTTTAATGATGGGTATTCTGTTAATTTGACTAACATTTGTTTATTATTGTTACGTTAGGGGCTCTAAAATATTTACATTTTACATCCTAGATTCGTTTAGTATATCTATGTTTGATGATAATAAAATTATCTTTAATTGTTTCAATAATTTATTCAAATAATTGTATTGTTTAATGTTTAGTCCTGATTCTAACAAAATTCAAATAATTCTGGATGAGCTTCATACATATTCTCAGAATGAGATCATGAAAGTGAAGAAAAATTTGGACATCATTTATGGTGCTTATTCTGAAGAAAAAACGAATGGAATAAACCAAATACATGAACACTTAATGAACCACATTACCGTAAATTAAATACATAACTTACTGTAACATATGTCATGCTGAAACATTATTATTTTGTGTATTAGGCTTTCTTTGACGATGTAGTTTTAGAATCTAACAAGGACAAACAAAATATTATAAAAGAAATTGAAGATTTATTGGTCGAAAAAGATATTTTGGAAAAGGTAAGATTTTTAAAAATGGATTAAACATTTTAAGTCTTATATTTTATGTATTTTATTTCTATTTTTGCAACTGAGCTTTAGTCATTATAATTAATAAATAATTTATTCATATACCCATAGGAACTTCAGATGAGCATTCCTATTGATGATCATAATGATGCTACACCCTTGATTGATGTTCAAATAAATATTGATAAAGCATTGAAGGGATGTAGAAAAATAAAAGAAGAACGTATGAAAGAGTTAAAAAGACTTCAAGATGAAGTAAATACATTTTTCTTGATCTACAATTTTTATTTTTATTATCCAATAAAATATAATCCAAACTACATATTAAATAGGAAATAAAAGTATGCAACGTATTGGGCGAGCAACCAAAATTTGCGGGCATTAAAAGTATGCCCTCTGCAACACAATTAGATACTATTAAACATCATTTGGTAGATTTGAAAAATACACAGGTAAAGTAAATGTGTAAGGTAAAACAACACGACACTTATTTATATTGATGTACTTGTACTCTTATGTTTTAAAGATTAAACGTCGAGATATCTTTGTGGAGCATAAAGCTATTGTAGAATCATTAATGGAATCGTTAGAAGAAACGGCAATACTGAGTTTTGATAAATTGGTTTTGGGTAATCCGAGCCAGTTTATATTATCTAAGTCAAATTTAGATGAACTTCAGGTAAACATTAATTAAGTTAATGTAACATTTATGCGAAATCTCGGGCCCAAAATAATTTTGTACACAAGATTAATATATATATATATTATGTTTTCTTTCTAGAAATTAATAAAACGTCTCGAAGAACAGACAGAAAATCAAAAATGTGTGTCTATGGAATTACGTACAAAACTAAGTTCTTTGTGGGATAGGCTACAAATTGATGTAACCTACAGAGAACAATTTGTCAGTAACAAAAAAGGTTTCGGCAAGAGAGTAATACAAGAGGTAAATTTATAGAGAAAAAAAAATATATGTATAATAAACATTTGACAAATAATTTTTTTTCCTAGTTAAAAGCTGAAGTTGAGAGATGTGAGACGCTCAAAAAAGAAAACATCAAACAATTTATTGAAAATCTTCGTTCTGAACTTAATGACTTATGGGATAAATGTCATTATGGTGAGCATCAAAGGAAAGAATGCCAAATATATTATAGCCCTGAATACAATGAAGATGTTATGGACTTATTAGATTTGGAAGTAGAAGCAGCTAAGAAATTTTATAATGATAACAAGTGAATAAAAAAATCAATTTTGCTAATTGGAAAATATTGTAAACATAACTTTTCTTTACAGAGAGATTTATTACTTAATCGAAGAACGAGATAAATTATGGACTAAAATGGTCATGGTGCAAGAACAAGCTAACGACCCCGCTCGCTTGTGGCAAAATAGAGGTGGCCAACTATTAAAAGAAGAAAAAGAACGAAAGCTTATTCAAAAAGTAATATTTTTAAATGTTGAAATACTTTATTTAATTACTTTAGTAAATTAAACTTAACCACACAAAATAATACACTTAAGTGTAAAAGCGTATTTTACTAGAAATGCTGTCATCATGAAGAGTTTATTTTTTTTGTGGTTAAAGGTTTTTTAAATATTTTATTGATTTTTTTTTTTTTACTATGTTTAACAACAACATTTTAACAGTTTTTTCTACATATAATACAAACTATTTAGATGTATAAAGTCTAAAATTAATATCAAATACAATTTAAAACTAACAATTAGTTCATAAATATGTATTAGGGAAATAAGTTAGTTGTATAATATAAAAAATGAATTTAAGAGCAATTTATATTATAACTGGTGACCAGTATAAGTTAATTCATACGAATAAATAAAATGGTAAAATTAAATTTATAGGAATTGCCAAAAGTGGACAAACAACTTCGTGGCTTAGTACAGTCTTATGAACAAAAAAATGGTTGTAATTTCTTGTATAAAGACAAAAGACTGTTGGACATAATTGAAACACAGTGGGATGAAATGAAAAACAATAAAAAACCATCACAGTGTACAAAGGTATCAGTTAAATAATTTTTCATTATTAAAACTTATAATAATTCAAAAAAATATTTATTCATAAATTACAGTCTAAAACTCAATTGTTAAAGAAAGTTCAAACGCCACAAGCTTTGGCTAACAACAAAAGAAAGTTAGTCATAACACCTGGAAGCCAAGCTTGTAAAGTCCGTAAAATGAGTGTGGACCATAAAGCTGTTCTGCCTAATGTAAGTATACTTTTGATTTATAAATTTAATTTAATTGTCATGTATCTATTTGGCTTTGTTTGTTGTTGTTGTTTAGATATCACCCAGAAGGGAGTTGTTTCCTATAAACACAAACATCGCCTTATTGGTCCCATTCAATTCGACCAATTTAAATGACATTTCAGCGAGGATGCAGTGATGAAAATGTGTCTGTAGAATCCTATGCGACCTTTCAGGTTTGATTTATTTAAATATTTAGTAATAGTGCTGATGTTCCATTGAGCGGTACCCTTAAGATAATTGCATGCAATCTGTTTTTAAGGAGTTTTGTATAGGCAATATTTGAGAAGAAAAAAGAGGTTTTAATAAATTTTGATGTGTCAATTATTATTTTTAGTTTAAATCATTTTTTCTAAGAGTAAAAACCATTTTGGTTTATTTTAGATCTAAAAGCCAGACAAAATGTCGACTACATAGAAGGATGGTCCAATTTCAATTCTGTAAAAAGATTCGAGTTCTTTGGCTACTTTACTATGTTATCTAGGAAGCCGATTTTTATTAAAACATTTTAGTTCGTAAGTAAAAACTCAACATTCTGTTTCTTACATAACCTAGTCAAGTTGCAAAAATAACTCTTTGTCTTTAAAGAATTAAAATCAGACCATATTAAGTAGTTGAATTTTTGTCTGGTTTATTAATCCAAAACGTGAAAAAAAGCAGACTGCAAGCAATAATTTCCTTAACTCAAAACTGATGAACATGACAAATACCATTCTTCCCCCTTGCCCTTCATTTATTATGACAATGCATTTTTGAATTTGCTATTTAATAATTAACATTTATGCATAATCTTTTCTATACAAATATGAGAGATTTGAATTTTGAGCTTAAAAATAATTTTAGGAACACCTTGAAAACCCAAAACAAATGTTGTTAAGTCCGACTTCAAAGCATATCCTGAAAGAGTCAAACGCCCGATATACTCCTCGAAAACCCATTCTGCGAACCAACCAAGCTTACTCGAACTATAAATAACAAATTACCGATTATATTTTAACTTATTTCTTTTATATTTCATATAACCATCTGTTCTTTAGTTTCGGTTTTAACAAATTACCAGGGTTTTTGTATGTATTTTTTATCAATATGATTTCGTTAAGGTTGTTCTTTTTTGTGTATTTGATTTCTGCATAATAACGTAGGTTGTTAAATGTGAATATTGTTAATTTTTTTAAAGTTTTATACTATGAGACTTATTACTAATGTTCCATCAACTATTCTTTGAATTTTGTTCTATTGTGTAATTATTTTTATTATAAATACAACTTGTAAGTTTTATACTGGATATTTTACTAATAACACTTTTTTATAAAAATATAATTTGTTGTCTCATGTCATAATTTTTGTTTTTCGTCTAACAAAAAATCAAATCACTCCAAAACATAATAACATTTTTTTAAGTTATACTGTAACTATAATATTTATTTTTAATTTGGTATTTTTTCCTACAAAACCCATGCGATGAAGAAAAAGTAATACTACATAAATACAAATATGTTAATATTTTAACAGCGGTTACCAATAGTGCTTCACAGTACCAGTTGTTTACACCAATTATACTTTATCAATTTTTTTCTTAATTAATCATTTCAATAATAATTTACGTATAGTACAATAATATACATAGATACTAGATATTTCATAATATTATTTAATTACTATCCTGTACAATTTTTATAAATTCACTTACTATATTGGTTTTTACTAAACACAACTAGTTACTATTTTTTTCTGTAGACTATATATTAAATATATATTTTTAATTATAAATAAATTCAAATGCAGTAAGAGTTCATTGTTTTTAAAACATCATTGACCAGTAATTTTTTTTTATAAATATTGATTTTCCTCAAATCTTTCAAAAGTAAATAATCCGTAACATTTGACTGGAGTATCTTTGTATTTTATAACAAAAACCATACTTTACAAAACATGGATAGCGCCTTATAAAATGTTTAAATTTTGATCATTTTTATCAAAATTCTAAATTTTACTAAACATGAGCAATGAGCATTATGAATATTTACTTTTGAATAATTTGAGAAAAATCAATATTTATAAAAAAAATTTCTGGTCAATGATTTTTTAAAGACGATGAACCTCTACTGCATTTGAGTATATTTATACTTTTAAAATAGTTAATAGACAGTGTGGAAGGACATAAAAATTTTTATAAATAAAAAAAAAAAATGTTAAGTTTACCATAAAAAAATTATAAGGAATAAAACATATTTTAAATCAATAATTAAATGCTTAAAAGTACTTGGAATTAAATCGTTGAAAAAGTAATGGTGCCAATATATCTAAAACTTAATAAAAGTAGTTATTAAAAAAAAAAGTTGTATTAATAAATACTTAATTAATAAAACCGTAATAACATTTAATAGCTATATTAAATCTTGTATGAAATAAATACGTAAATGCGAATACTAAAACTAAGCGACGGAAAGTAAAAAATAAATTTATTAGGCAACTTGTCGAAATATAACTTAACTACACCTAAAATAAATACACAAAATAATCGCAATAATCCAGAAATAAAATGTTTAACATTTTCTTATTATTTTACTCATTGTAATCTATAAAATTAAATATGTTTTTATTTTTCTACTGTTATCAAGTAGGTCATGTCTATTAATGAGTACCTCGCCATTGTATATAAATATGAAAAACAAAACAATATATACAATTCGCCATTCGCGTATAATAATTTACTTTAATTATGATATAAATAAAAGCAACCTCTAGTAGATCCTTCATATACAGTATAATAATATGATATATATTATGTACTAAGTAACCACACTCAGGCCTCAACCATTAACATAATAAGTAATAACTAATATTACCTAATGAACAATTTATTTTTTATACACTTAATGGCTGTAGAGTATCAGTATGTATGGATCGCATTGTAAGAATCCGGGGCGAAACTAAAGGAGGTGGGGTTACTTTCTCTTTTCCCCTCAATGGGCTGTCTCAGTTGGCTATACGAGAAAAAAATTGATAAATTGTCAAATTTGATACTCGATAGGCATAAAATGTTTTATAAAATACAATTATTACAATTACTACTTTGAAAATCTGTATTGGAATGGGCATCTGATCACCAAAAGCTGTAAAACTGACCTCCAACAAGTAACAACAATTATTGTAGCTGGAACATTTTGTAAGAGTTGGCCAATCTCACAATATACTTAGTCTATAATGATCACATAATCTTACTATGTCGATCATAACAAAGACATTTTATAATTGTACTACTAACTACTAAGTAATAATGTCATAGTTATTGTATTTTATTATTATTCAATTAACAATCTACAGTTTACTTACTGATTATGGATAGGAGTTACATTGTTCTAATAAGTTAAAGTCTAGACGATAGATGTTTAAAATTCGAAAGAAATTGTTCAACATTTTTTTTTAGGATTTTTAAAAGTGGATTTTGGCGGCGCGCTTGCAGTGCTGCTGCTAGCGCGCTCTGTTAGTTTGAGAACTAAATATTATTAACACTAGGAAGTAACAGCTGTAAAAAAAAAAACCATATATAAATCGATATAATTTTATTAAATCAAACAAACAGAAAAAATAGCGTTGGTCAATAAGCAAAATTTTTATTAGTTTACATTAATGTGTATTTTTTAGAATATGATTAGTTTCACTAATAATTGAAAATGAGGTGAAAATGGCAACGTCGCTCAACGGTGATACGCTAACACCTTTGTTGTTACTCGTTTGAACCAAAAACCGTTACAATAAAAAACCGACATTTCGCCACCACCAATGGAGACGTGAGTTTTCAGTTTATAGTTTATACATCATTATTTGTTATTTATAATATTTTGTTGGTGTGTATGTGCGTGTGTATTTCCAGTTTCGATTTTAAATGTAATGGCATAATATTGTTTTAAATATTCCGTTCCGTTTAAAATATTAATTTGAACTGTACATCGTTTAGTTAGAACACCGTTCATTTTCTACTGGTTTGTGTATTGTGAAATGTGAATTATTGGCTTTGATTTTCTCGTATTTCGTGTGTTATTTTACAAATCAAAATGTCGTCTATGATGTTTGGATCGCCATTGTTGAAAGATGAGTAAGTTCTTACATTCGTTATGCTATAATAATATATTATTCGATTATTTCTGTTGAAAAATAATAGTATGTTTAGTTTGAGTTAAGAACTTCTCATTAAATCTACGGATTCCTCTTCCTAGTTCAAAAGTTATAGCTACTTGAACTATAAAGTATTGTTGTGCGATAAACCCTTGCAGGTTGAAAAACACACCCTTTTGCTTAATAACACTATATAATAATGATTTTTTTATCACAACAAATTATTTTCTGTCTTTACTAATTTATATCTACTTTCTAATTTTTTATTTTAAAGGGTGGATGGGAAGTATTGGTTTAGAATCGTTACTCGTTAGGTGGGTGTCTGTTTGCACTGCAGTATCATGTTAGCTTTTTTTTTCCTTTTTGATAAGCAATTTTTTCCTCTGAAGGTTTGAGACTAGAATCGGCTCCTAAATTTGGTAGGCGTAGGGAATCCCTAAAGTAGTGGGCATACTATAATAGCTTGCAGCTGACAGTTGATTCGCTACTACTGGATTATGGAGCAGGCATCTTTCACATTGATAATTTTCTATGATCAATAGCTATAAGTTTTGAACGAGGGGTGCCACGGATTTCTCGCCCAAAATGGCTTAAAAAAGGAACCCGGTATAGTGTATTTTATTCCAAATTAAATACTACCACAATTAATTAAAATGAAACCATAAACACAAATATTGACAAACTTAAAATAAGAATACCGAATATGTGCCAAAGTTGAATATGGGTAGTTTTAATAAAGTAAATAAATAGAACACTGAACTGAGTTATGAATTATATCGTTTATTAATGAATTTACACAAACATTTCAAAACAGACTGACACTTGAAGATGTCTGTACTCTGACCCTTAAAATCCAAATTCCTCCCGAGGGCTCTTAAAGTGACAAATAGGAGGAAGTTCTCTGAATAATGGACTTTGGTACATCGTTCAAAGGCATTTTTCAATTATTAGATTAAAGAGGCATTTTCACACAATTGATACTATTAATATTAAGGGTGCTTAAAAACTACCTATACCATTTTAAATAATGGGTATTCTGTTAGTTTGACTGACATTTGTTTATTATTGTTACGCTAGGGGTCCTACAATATTTACATTTGACATTTTTTATCCTAGATTCGTTTAGTATATCTATGTTTGATGATAATAAAATTATCTTTAATAGTTTCAATCATTTATTCAAATAATTGTATTGTTTAGTATATCTATGTTTGATGAAAATAAAATTATCTTTAATAGTTTCAATCATTTATTCAAATAATTGTATTGTTTAATGTTTAGTCCAGATTCTAACAAAATTCAAATAATTCTGGATGAGCTTCATACATATTCACAGAATGAGATCATGAAAGTGAAGAAAAATTTGGACATCATTTATGGTGCTTATTCTGAAGAAAAAACGAATGGAATAAACCAAATACATGAACACTTGATGAACCATATTACCGTAAATTAAATACATAACTTACTGTAACATATGTCATGCTGAAACATTATTATTTTGTCTTTTAGGCTTTCTTTGACGATGTAGTTTTAGAATCTAACAAGGACAAACAAAATATTATAAAAGAAATTGAAGATTTATTGGTCGAAAAAGATATTTTGGAAAAGGTAAGATTTTTAAAAATGGATTAAACATTTTAAGTCTTATATTTTATGTATTTTATTTCTATTTTTGCAACTGAGCTTTAGTCATTATAATTAATAAATAATTTATTCATATACCCATAGGAACTTCAGATGAGCATTCCTATTGATGATCATAATGATGCTACACCCTTGATTGATGTTCAAATAAATATTGATAAAGCATTGAAGGGATGTAGAAAAATAAAAGAAGAACGTATGAAAGAGTTAAAAAGACTTCAAGATGAAGTAAATACATTTTTCTTGATCTACAATTTTTATTTTTATTATCCAATAAAATATAATCCAAACTACATATTAAATAGGAAATAAAAGTATGCAACGTATTGGGCGAGCAACCAAAATTTGCGGGCATTAAAAGTATGCCCTCTGCAACACAATTAGATACTATTAAACATCATTTGGTAGATTTGAAAAATACACAGGTAAAGTAAATGTGTAAGGTAAAACAACACGACACTTATTTATATTGATGTACTTGTACTCTTATGTTTTAAAGATTAAACGTCGAGATATCTTTGTGGAGCATAAAGCTATTGTAGAATCATTAATGGAATCGTTAGAAGAAACGGCAATACTGAGTTTTGATAAATTGGTTTTGGGTAATCCGAGCCAGTTTATATTATCTAAGTCAAATTTAGATGAACTTCAGGTAAACATTAATTAAGTTAATGTAACATTTATGCGAAATCTCGGACCCAAAATAATTTTGTACACAAGATTAATATATATATATATTATGTTTTCTTTCTAGAAATTAATAAAACGTCTCGAAGAACAGACAGAAAATCAAAAATGTGTGTCTATGGAATTACGTACAAAACTAAGTTCTTTGTGGGATAGGCTACAAATTGATGTAACCTACAGAGAACAATTTGTCAGTAACAAAAAAGGTTTCGGCAAGAGAGTAATACAAGAGGTAAATTTATAGAGAAAAAAAAATATATGTATAATAAACATTTGACAAATAATTTTTTTTCCTAGTTAAAAGCTGAAGTTGAGAGATGTGAGACGCTCAAAAAAGAAAACATCAAACAATTTATTGAAAATCTTCGTTCTGAACTTAATGACTTATGGGATAAATGTCATTATGGTGAGCATCAAAGGAAAGAATGCCAAATATATTATAGCCCTGAATACAATGAAGATGTTATGGACTTATTAGATTTGGAAGTAGAAGCAGCTAAGAAATTTTATAATGATAACAAGTGAATAAAAAAATCAATTTTGCTAATTGGAAAATATTGTAAACATAACTTTTCTTTACAGAGAGATTTATTACTTAATCGAAGAACGAGATAAATTATGGACTAAAATGGTCATGATGCAAGAACAAGCTAACGACCCCGCTCGCTTGTGGCAAAATAGAGGTGGCCAACTATTAAAAGAAGAAAAAGAACGAAAGCTTATTCAAAAAGTAATATTTTTAAATGTTGAAATACTTTATTTAATTACTTTAGTAAATTAAACTTAACCACACAAAATAATACACTTAAGTGTAAAAGCGTATTTTACTAGAAATGCTGTCATCATGAAGAGTTTATTTTTTTTGTGGTTAAAGGTTTTTTAAATATTTTATTGATTTTTTTTTTTTTACTATGTTTAACAACAACATTTTAACAGTTTTTTCTACATATAATACAAACTATTTAGATGTATAAAGTCTAAAATTAATATCAAATACAATTTAAAACTAACAATTAATTCATAAATATATGTTTGATAATAATATATAATAGAACGATGTTAATAAAAATAACATCGTTAATATCATTACTTTAAAAAAATAAGTAAATGGGAAGAATGGACAACAACATTCTATGGTAAAATTATATTAGTTGGTTTAACTTTTTTAAAACAGCTGTGAGCTATGTCATATTATAAAGTTCTAAACGTTATAAGATATTAGAACAGAAAATGAACAATGTGATGAAGATGTATTAGGGCATTAAGTTAGTTGTATAATATAAAAAATGAACTTAAGAGCAATTTACATTATAACTGGTGACCAGTATAATGTTTTAATGGTAAAATTAAATTTATAGGAATTGCCAAAAGTGGACAAACAACTTCGTGGCTTAATACAGTTTTATGAACAGAAAAATGGTTGTAATTTCTTGTATAAAGACAAAAGACTGTTGGACATAATTGAAACACAGTGGGTTGAAATGAAAAACACTAAAAAAACACCACAGTATACAAAGGTATCAGTTAAATAATTTTTCATTATAAAAACTTATAATAATTCAAAAAAATATTTAATCTTATATTGCAGCCTAAAACTCAAATGTTCAATAAAGTTCAAACGCCACAAGCTTTGGCTAACAACAAAAGAAAGATAGTCACAACATCTGGAAGCCACGCATCTAAGGTCCGTAAAATCGGCGTGGACCATAAAGCCGTGGTAACAAAATAAGATATTGACCCCAAGAGCACATTAAACTTACTAATGACTATTTTATTTCTGACTTGCATATAATTTTAACCTTAATATCTTCATTGTACACTATCCGTATAATTATTATGTACACTTCCTATGTTATTTATTTTTTATTTTATATAATAATAATATATTAAGAATAATTATACTTCATTGGTTAGACCTCGTTTATCAGACCTTTGAAAATTGTATATATATTATCTAAACTAATAATAAATGGTTGTCTATCAGCATTTGTCTAATAAGTGCCAAAGAGATTATTTGAAAGTATTTTACACTGACACTTGAATATTTTGAAATATATAATTATCTGAACTAAGTCAAATAAACGAGGTTCTGCCTAGTGTAAGTATACTTTTGATTGATACATTTAATTTAATTGTCACTAATCTTTTTTGTTTTGTTTATTGTTATTGTTTAGATAACACCCAGAAGGGAGTTGTTTTCTAAAAACACAAATGTTGCTACACTGGTACCATTAAACTCGACCAAGTTAAATGATATTAATTTAACTACAAACCAACCGTGTATGACATTTCAGCGAGGATCCAATGATGAAAATGTGTCTGTAGAATCCTATGCGACCTTTCAGGTTTGATTTACGTGAGATCAATGCGTTCCACATCACTTCTTTTGGTGTGAATTTTTCACTATCGCTTTTTTTTATTTATTCATTTTTTTTTATTATTCAAATTTAATTAATTTTTAGTTTATGTAAAACCTGTTTTGCCAATTGTTTTATTATTTTTATCCTAGATTAACTTAATTAAAACAATTTGCATGATATATTATTTATTATTATTTATCAAAGAATATGAAGGGCACCAGGAAAGAATGATAGTAATCCATTAATGACAATTTTTCAGGAGAACAAAAACAAAGTTAGTTTATGTGTACAAATCTGTGTTGACCGTTTTTCAGGCGCCAAGTTTGTCCCACAGTAACCTTTTTTTTTTGTCTGAATGGATTTCGAAAGCAGTAATAGTGCTAATGTACCATTGAGTGGTACCATTAGAGGATTGTATGCGATCTGTTTTTAAGGAGTTTTGTATAGGCAATATTTAAGAAAAAATGAGGTTTTAATACATTTTGATGTGTCAATTAATTTATCGGTTAATTTGTCTAAGTTTCGAGCCAAACAAAATGTCGACTACATAGAAGGATGGTGCAATTTCAATTCTGTTAAAAGATTAGAGTTCTTTGGCTACTTTACTATGTTATCTAGGAAGCCGATTTTTATTTAAAAATTTCAGTTTTTTATAGTAAATTAAATTTATGATTTGTTCAATACTAAAACCCAATTTTTTACATAAAAGAAGCAAAAAATCAACATTCTGTTTCTTACATAACCTAGTCAAGTTGCAAAAATAACTCTTTGTCTTTAAAGAATTAAAATCAGACCATATTAAGTAGTTGAATTTTTGTCTGGTTTATTAATCCAAAACGTGAAAAAAAGCAGACTGCAAGCAATAATTTCCTTAACTCAAAACTGATGAACATGACAAATACCATTCTTCCCCCTTGCCCTTCATTTATTATGACAATGCATTTTTGAATTTGCTATTTAATAATTAACATTTATGCATAATCTTTTCTATACAAATATGAGAGATTTGAATTTTGAGCTTAAAAATAATTTTAGGAACACCTTGAAAACCCAAAACAAATGTTGTTAAGTCCGACTTCAAAGCATATCCTGAAAGAGTCAAACGCCCGATATACTCCTCGAAAACCATTTGCGAAAACTCCTGTAAAAGGATCAAAATTACCACTACCATCCACGCCAAAAACTCCATTACGAACGACTCCTGGGAGAGCTGTCAATCCTCGTACAGTTACCAAGCTTACTCGAACTATAAATAACAAATTACCGATTATATTTTAACTTATTTCTTTTATATTTCATATAACCATCTGTTCTTTAGTTTCGGTTTTAACAAATTACCAGGGTTTTTGTATGTATTTTTAATTTTTTATCAATATGATTTCGTTAAGGTTGTTCTTTTTTGTGTATTTGATTTCTGCATAATAACGTAGGTTGTTAAATGTGTATATTGATAAAATTTTATATCATGAGACTTATCACTAATGTTCCATCAACCATTCTTTGTATTTTGTTCTATTGTGAATTTATTGTTTAATTGTTTTTATTATAAATACATCTTGTAAGTTTAATATTGGACATTTCACTAATAATACTTATTTTTATAAAAATATAATATGTTGTCTCGTGTCAGATTTTGTTTTTCGAGTAACAAAAATTCAAAGCACTCAAATACGCAATAATTTTTTTTTAGGTTTTACTGTAACTATAATATGTTTATTTTTAATTTTTTTTTTTTATGAAATGTATCTTAATTATTTAAAGTTGTAGTATTTATTAAAATTAATAAAAAAAACTTAACAGTATTATTAATATTTTTATAATCATAACATGTAAAATGTTAGTAAACTGTATATAAGATTATCACCTGATTTTATATTATATTTATATATTAAGATTATACTGAGTTTTAAAATAAAAAAGAGAATTAGTTGTTATATTATACCAATTGGTGGACTGTATTAAATACAATATTAATCAATAACAACCTTCATCATAAAATTATATTTAATATGCTAATTTATGTGTACTTATGTTATTTGTATACTTCATACAATGTGCATATTTGAAAGTGTTGGAATATCAAACATTTACACATCTAAATATTCAAAACAGGTTTTTAAATTGTTTAAAGATGATCACTAATTTAAAGTATTACACCCCATTTTTGTGCTTCAATATCATAATTAATGTAATTTATTAGTGTTACAAGCTCAAATGAATAAATATTTTGAGTAGAAGAAAAAAAAATGTTTAGCAGTAAGCAGTAGAAAAATACAAAATCGACTTTATTTTGTTGAGTTTTATTTTAAGCGACGATTGTATTTTTTTCTTTTGTGTTATGGTTAATATGCAGCCAAATCATAAGTTTGACCAATTTGGTCAGCAATCACGCGATATTCCTGTTTAGCAGTGTCAAGTTTCTCTAAAACATGTTAAAAAAAAATATTAGTAAACATATCACTATTATTTTTAATATGGTTATTTAATAATCAATATATCAGGAATTTTAAAATATACCTCATTCTTATAACAAAGGCAACAACACTAAACAATAACAAACACAAGGGGGCCTACTAAATTAATCTGGAAGTGTTATATTATAAGGAGTGCGCAACTGCTCCCAACGAAGAAGGTCGAATCGGTGTTAGTAAAAGTGAGCTTTAACATATTTTAGGGTGAATAAAATAAACATTCAAATGTATATGTTTTCTATGTTATTAGACATTATAAAAATAATTTATTCTTAATATCTTTAGACGCCAAGACTGCGGCAGTTTTCGTGGGAGATATCCATATGTCCACTATTAGATGATGGCGATAAGTCAAAATCGAGACACGATCGTTTTCGTTAGGCAGTATGTGTTTTAGTGTTCTAGAATTTTTGTTTTTATTATGCAAAGTAGAACAAGTAACATTACCTTAATAAATACAAATATATTAATAGTGCTTCACATTACCTGTTTTTTACACCAATCGTAATTTATCATTTTTTATCTTAATTAATCATTTCAATATTAATGATAATATACGTGGAAACTAGATATTTCATAGTATTATTTAATTGCTATCCTGTACAATTTGTATAGACTCATTTACAACATTGGTTTTTACTAAACGCAACTATTTTTTTTCTGTAGACATTATTTTATTGAAGCCCATTATTGCAAATAGTCCTAATGTGCAACTTATGTATTTAAATTGGACTAAAAAGTCGACAGTAACATTCGACTGGATTTTCTTTGTATTTTTTAACAAAAACCATACTTTACAAAAAATGGATAGCACCTCATAGAATGTTTAAATTTCGATCATTTTTATCAAAATTCTACTAAACATGAATATTATGAATATTTACTTTTGAATGATTTGAGAAAAATCAATATTTATAAAAAAAAAATTCTGGTCAATGATGTTTTAAAGACAATGAACCCTACTGCATTTTAATTTATTTATACTTTTAAAATAGACAGCGTGGAAGGACATTAAAAGGGAAAAATACGAAGGTGAAACCATGCAAAAATATACTAAAACAAGTTCAAAATAAAACATAAAAAACGCATTCGGTGGTGTTTTAGACAGTATATTATGTATTTGAGTATATTCCTTGTAGCTCCAACAAAACAACTGAATCAGTTTGTTTGTTATAACAACATAGTTAAATATTTACATGACAAGAAAAACTTTAGATGCATTGTGCTGAAATCTACTTTTTTCAATAAAAAAAATAATCATTCGGCAATAATAATATAATAATAATAATAATAGATAATAGGCTGAATACAAATAATAAACAAGCTGATAAAACAGTGCAAAACACAACAAAAACAAAAATGGTTGATCTTGGATTTTGTCATTTAATATAATAATAAAATTGTTGTGGTCAATTTTTAACACATTAGTCAACGAGTTCAGAGAACGTTTGGTCAAGATCGTCACAAATGTATTTGTATTTCTCTTTCTCGTGAACCAATTCGTCTGGAAAACAAAACAAACCGAAAATTCAGAAAACACATAATTTATGTTTCTTTAATTTGCTGGTGAATAAGAATATGATTTCTTTTTTTCTTTTACATTACTTTATTGGTAAAATATAATATATAGCACTTGGGATGACAATAAATATATGTAAAAAAAAATATAGTAGTAATAATAATTCATAATATAAGTTATTTTATATCGGTGATTACCATCTAGTGTTAATGCAAAATTGTCTGTACAATAAAAAAAAAACGTACAAGTACAGCAATGTATGATAAAAAATGTTTTTGCTATTTAAAAAAAAAATTGTATGAAGGTTATTTGACTAATAACGATAACAATGCATTAAATAAATCACAATACATCATCAAATAGACATTACATTTTTGTTAGGGTATAGTTAATTTATGTATCATTTAAATGTCTTATAAAAAATAATATTATTATTAAAGCAAAATAAAATTATCTTTTTTTGAATATATTAGCTATACTCAAACAGACACATATGTCTAGTGAAAACAATTTATATAAATTACTTAAATACATTTTACAATATTATTAATTTTTTTTTTTATTCTAAAAAATGACTGAAACCTGTACTACTTTTTTTTATATAATTTTAGGTCACTGTAGCGATTTACTTGTCTACAAGCGTAAAACAAAGCCAAAATAAAAAAATAAATCGTAAGCTATACAATTCACAAAAAAAAAAAAATAATAACTAGCTAAAGTTATGAGTTTTGTGTCGAGTAGTTTATTATTTGTGGACGGTGTTAGTAGTAGCTGTATTTTTGTTTTTGTCTTTTATATTTTTTTTAAGGGAATGTAGTGAGGGAGTGTGGTCGGAGATACGAGACAGAAAACGGATGGAAACTATGCGTATGTGTAAAAGGATGATGTATGTATATTATGTGTAAATGTGTGGTGTTTGTGTTTAGATGCCATACAAGTCGACAAACGCAAGGTCCAAACTGTCTCCAATGTCCCTGTATCTCTCCTTTTCGGCGACCAACTCATCTGAAAAGCAAATTGGTTATGGAATCAGTAATGCCTAACCATCTCTGCACGTGTGAAGAAAATAATACATAAAATAAGTAAGAAAGGATAGTATTGATGAGAAGTGAATAAAGCCTGAACCAATGCAAAGGATAAATAAGATAATACAATATATAATCCAAATGATATTTAATGGAAATGTGTTAATATTCGACCAATTATTAAATGTATTAATTTAGTATTATTTAATTTTTTACTTATTTAAATTAACTTATGAAAAATTTGGTTTACAGTTAACATTTTCAAATTTTCTTTTGTTTTACTAATGAATAATTATTTAAGAATATTCTGATAAGTTTTTAGTAGAAAATTAGAATATTCACGTACTTATCAATGCTTAAACAAAAAGTGCACCACAACTTCTATTTATAGAATTTAAATTTGAAAAGAGGTTTTTTTGGTATCATAATTTTAAATAGTAAAAAGATAGAAAAACCTTTTTTTATTTGTAATAATATTTTTTTTATAAATAAAAAAAAAATTATAATATAAATTTATTAAATAAATCACAAATTAAATGCTTAACATTATTTGAGTTAAATCGTTGACAAAGCAGTGGTGCTAATATAACCAAAACTTTGATAAAAGTAGTTATTTAACAAAAAAGTTGTATTAATTAATACTAAATAAATATTTTATTTTGTCATTATGTCGATTGCTCACTAATTGTGTTAGTCTATTCTAAAAGTATTTTATTCTCGCCTAAACCAAATTCTGATACTTAATACTTTATTACTACAAAATTATAGCTGTTTACTATTTAATATATAGGTGTCCCAATAAGAATCTAATAGGTGTTATTATTTATTATTATTCAACTAATGTAGTAAACAAAATAAAGAAAAAAAATAAAGTTATAATATGGAAGAGATATGTCCTTTTAGTTTTTATTATAGAAAAATGTTTAGCCCATATAGACATACAATTAATTTAATTTAAGACTTAAAGTAAAATGCTTATAAATAATTAAGAAACATCAAGGCATATAATATAGTAAAGAAGTTTAACTAAATTCCTTTATTTCCTTGATTGATTCCACTTATAAAAAGTATAAAATTTGATTAAAGCCTAAAAAAATGAAGTATAAAATAAAAGAATGATAGGATGTTAGTTCAATGAAAAGTATAAGTGCATTATAAAAATATAAAATGTGTAGTCGAACCTGTGCAAATAACGTAGTTAGTATTTGAGTGTAGGGGGAGGGAATGTTATAAAATGAATAATAACAAATTTTAATTGTAATTAATAAATAAAACAAATTTTAATGAGGAATAGGAAATTCACTAAGAAGGACGAGGGGGGAAATGAAGGAAGGTATGTTATTTTACATGTTTTGGATGTCGTGCAGGGTGGCTTCCATTTCTTCCTGTAGATGCTTGTTTTTTTCTTTCTCTCCAGTAAGGTCATCTGTCGTGTTGGATCCGTCAAAAACGCAGACACGCATCACACATAAAAACAAAATATTAGCTAACATGCTCAAACAAACAAAACAAAAAATAAAACAATATCTAATAAATCAACTACTTGATAAAAAAAATAACTACTGTGCAAACAAGCCATGTTTAATTGAAAACAATACGAGTACATTTAGGATATTATTATTAGTTTGCTCTCAATGTTCATAAACATCAATGGTAATTATAGATTAAGGACACAAAATCTTCAAATTATTTTTATTGTTATTGGGTTATTAACAATCTGTTGTCAATAAACAACACCATTAGGACATCTGTACAATGTTAACACAGCAACGCATTCTAGATGCATAAATACCGATATGTAAATTTAAATTTACCCACCAGCTTTAATATTTTCTAAAAGACTAACACAAATATTTCTAATTGTATTTAATATTCATTGATAAGGATTGAAAAGTAGTCTATGATATATCTTCAGAAACCTTAAGACATACTACATACAAATATTTTTGAATATTATTAAATACATTAGTTAGTTTAACACAACAGGAAGTAGCCTTACGGTTTAACCTAGTTGGTATATAAATATTGTGTAGACAAACTAAAATGAAACAATTTTTAGCAACCGGGGCCAAAATTATTGCCAATAACGTATTATGACCGAGGATCAATGTGTAATCTTGAAATTAAATAAAGTAATTACTACATTTGTTTTTCAACAAATAATTGTCTTTTTTTTTTTTAAATTTAGATATTGTTAATTTTTCATTAAATTTTATCAATCCTAAAACATAGTCATGGTTATGTTCTAGTAAAATATAAAACTTACCTTCGAGCCTGTCGACTTCTTTTTGCAATTTCTGTACAGACCGTTCAGCAAATTCAGCACGAGCTTCAGCCTATAATTAAGAAATTGTGTGCTTAAACTTGTTATTAAATGCTAAATATAATTAAGTAGTTATATATTTTGTTAATTAAACTAAACTTCACGCAACTAAAAAAAACATGCAAATTTATAGCAATATTGTTAACAAAAAAAAAAAAAAAATTTAAGAATTTTAACTTTGATGTGAAACTGAGAAGGTATTGTTTTTACAATTATGTGTTTTTACATGTTAACTTTAGTGCCAGGACCCATGATATTCTAAGCTTAGCATGATATGCTAAGCCTCTTAACCGATTTCATTAGGCAGAGAATCTATAAATCAGAAATCGTACCTAAAAGATACTTTATTGAGTCAACATTTTAAATTTACCTTCTACTTAATATAAATATCTACATATTTTTCAACTTAAAATTACAGCATACTATAACTTTTTAAAAATAATCGAAATAGTTCCAAATTTGTACAGAATACTTTCAAGATATAGTAATATTGATCTATGTTAAAACCCCTAAAAATAATTAAAACTTTTTCCCCTTGAAAATGTTGTCTTAATTTCACTTTTTCGAGTGTAGGTTTGTCTAAGGTCTGAAAATTAGTCTAAAGGTTGATCTAGAGTGAAAAAACCAAAATAAAAAGAGAAACTACACTGGCTGTATTAATTTAAGTTGCTGTGTATGAATGAATTTACCATGGGTATCAGAAAACTACTTTCATTAAATAGTTGATTAAGACATATGAGTAACAAGGACAACAAATTATTGTAAATTATAAAACAATTAGACAATCAACCCTAACGGCCTAATCATATCCACCCCAATACTAAAAATACATTTTTAAGCACATCATTTTACACAATGATTTTTACCAAAATGTAATATTTATACCATCAACAGATTCACATCAAAGCATCTTTTTATTTTAGTGTGACTTCATAGACCTCAGTATGCTCTGACCCCACTGTGCTTATTTTTTATAATTGTCAAACAAATAGAAATGTGTTACCATGTAAGGAACAAATTATTTATTTAATGAATAAATAATATACTATCATAATTCTGATGTATTTTCATAAATGTGTGTTGATGCAGTTTTAAATTTAAAAAAATTACCGGAATAATACATTTGTAATTAACTTAATTATAAATCTGTTCTGTTTTTAAACTACTAAAAATTTTTTTTAATATTAATGACAATATCTGTTAAGGTCCTTTTTACCTCTTTGAGTTGTGCACTGAGACCTTTTACTTGTTCCTCAAATGTTTCTTCCCTTTGTGTGGCCTATTTTACACGTGCCATGTGTAGCGTGAGTTAAGCGTGTACAATCAGTAGACAATACAAAAAAACACAAAAAACAAAAGTTAGTCACAAAAATAAAAAAACAGTTACAATAGTATCAAAAACTCAAGTCATTCGACTTCACTTGAGAGTGATGTGGGATGTAGTTAAGTATTTTTTTATAGTGAGTGTTAAAAAAAACAAAATCACACATTTTTTAGTAGACTATTTTTGTGCTTAGGTTATGAAATGTGTTTTTAAAAATTATGCAACCACAAAATGCTATATTTTTTTGTTTGTTTTAATACCTCCTTCAAACGGTTGGTTAAAGTCTTAATTTGGTTCTTATATTCTTCTTCACGTTGGTTAGCCTGTCCAAAACCATAAGTTAAAATATTTGTTTCTTTTTATTATTATAAAATGCGATTTTTAATTAAAAAAATAATTGCTATGCCCTAATATATTATATAAATAATTATTTTATGTTCTAAATGTACAAAGAGATTTAATAGATACAAATAGTCTATATTGATTATCTAAAAATCCTAGATACATACTAATTTTTATTATAAAAATTATTATATATTAAATTTGTATACTAATTGCGGGCAAGATATAATGAAAATATGTATACATACATATACGTATATATGTGTATATATATATTGTGTATGTATATATGTGTATATATATATTGTGTATGTATATCTATGTATACTTTTATAACTATAAAATATTTTTAGATAAAATTGCATACAAAAAATGTTTATTGTCATAAAAAACTATGTGATTACTTTATATTTTGTTTCTGTAAACTTAAAATTAAGTAACTGAATTATTAGGTTCAAATTGTATACGTTTACCTTTTCCTCAGAAACTTCTAGGGATTTTAAGTTGTTGCCAACAACACGCAGTTCTTCTTCTAGTTCAACAATTTTTCTACAACACCAAGTAAAATATTAGTAAATACATTTTCAAAAATATTGTTATCACCATTTTTACCAGGTTGTCATTTAAGAGAGTTTAGTCATTAATTATAGCGTTGTTAAAACACTTAATTTTTTAGCTACACTGGTAAAAATGGCCATTCGACTCTTAAAATTGAATTCAATAAAACAATTTAGAAGAGTGTTTTACAATTTTATTTTTTAATTAAAGGAAATATTGGTAATTATTTTTGATTGCGATAATAAGCTAATCAATTACTACACACTTTTCAAACTAATAAGCAAATTCACACATAGATTACTTACTTATCATAATGATCATCTAATTATACAAGCACATAAGTAAAAATTATATTCACTTAAGTGATTTCTGATAATTCTTATATTTAGTTTTTATGACTTAATACTCACGCATCACTGTGTTCAGCTCTTTCTTCAGCCCTTTCCAAGTCTTGTTCCATCATGACTAATTTACGGCCAACCTAATGAGACAATCAAAACGAACAATAGAAACAAATTGCATGCAAAGCATATATGTTAATAAAAATCAAATCTAGGTTAGGATAATGTATAATGGAAGTGTAGGAAATGAAAAACATACAAACACAATTAAAAAAAAAAAAAAAAAAATGGTATTGAGAGCCAATAAATAAAATTATCAAAACAAAAAAATCTAGTAAATAAGCCCAGAAAATAAAACGCGCAACAAAATATCTAAGCGTTCAATCTTAAGCAATAAGAATCGCAATCGTAAAAATTATCCAAGTTTTTCCTGTATATTTTATTAATTTCTTTGCCGTGCTTACGATTCGCCAGATTCAGCACGTTCTTCAGCTCTTTCCAGATCGGCTTCAACCATGGCCAGTTTACGCGCTACCTAATCGCAATAAATTTCCAAACTTTCATTAGGTATAAAAGTATTTACAATAACAACGGATACAATATCTAAAACTAATTAGATAATCATCATAAAGAGTAAAGGTAATGTTAGAACTCAATTAAAGGAATTATAAAAACAGAACACTTCAACACGGGTTACTGGTTAGTATTATAATAAAATCTAAATATTGAATCCAAGTATATTGTTTATCTTAATACTAAATACAACTTAACATAGTTTATAATCATTATTATTTCTTTATAAACAAAGACACAAGGTGTTCCTTGTGTGCTTGAACACGCTTTTAACCCAATCAGCTAACTGATATTATACAAGTTTAAAACAAAATTTAAGTTTTGCAAAAAATAAACTACAATCAATAAAACACGAATGAAAATAATACATTTGATGGGGCACATTTGAAGGGTTGGGGTAAATTTAAGATTTCAGAACCTAAACAAAATTCCTGTGCACACGTAATATTATAGATTTATGGTAACAGTGAACTTGCCAAGTATTATAATATAATTGCATTTAATTAAAACTATAAGCTTTGGTTACTCATAAAAAATATGTGTAATTTTATTTTATTTAAGTTACACATTCAATGAACTTCATTAACCATGAGTACTTTTTTTTTATAGATATACATTAATGAGTCATGTTAATTTTACCTCTTAGGATAATTATTATGATATAAATTACAAGTATAAGGAACAATTTTAATATGTCAACTCAAGTATGATAAAAAAATCAAATTAAGTAAAGCAATTTATGCTCAAAATTAAATATATAACTTATTTGAAAAATAGTTGGTGCTTTTTAATATTGTACGGAAAGGTACTCGTGTGACGTACTATCATTTAATATAACAACTATAAAATAAAAAATATAAAAATCAACATCAAAAAAACTACAAGTGATGATCAACTGCAATGCTTTAATCAAAAATATTTTTTTAATACATGTTTGAAGAAGAAAAATATAAAACATTTTTTATATTCAAATTTTTAGGCACGATGGTATCTTGTAATATATTCTTTGTTCAGTAGTTGTCAGCAGTAGATTTTCCAGACAATCAAAATAATTATGCAGATAAGTTGTATTTTATTAAAATAACACCATGTATATATGTATATATACTGCAAATATATATACATATATATTAATATATATTTAATAAATTAATAAACATATAAATATATATAAAAAAAAATTGTACCTTTTTGTACTTCTTACACAATTTCATTATTTTTTTTTTTATCCATATCATTATATTTTTAAGCTTTAATAATTTGACCTAGTACGCTATAGGTGCATTCACAGTAATAAAAACATTAAAATAACTCATTTAACAACTATTACTCAAATTTTAATAATTTTTACCAATTAAAAAAAATTCTGCTAAATACTAATTAGTTATATTTTTTTACATACTACTTTTTATTTTTCCGACTATTTTTGTATTTCTAACAAACAGTATAACAAGGTAATGCAATTCAAACTATGATTTATTTGTTAAAAATTCAAATAAAGAATTCCTATACCATATTTAATAGAAGAAAAGCATTAAATATTAGTAATTGAACCGTTCTATTATTCTGAAAGCCTTTGTTTTAATTCTAAGTTTTAAATAACAATAATTATGTTCAAAACAATTATATAGCATAAACATTACATAACTTTTAAATGCCCAACATTAATAATTTGGTGTAAAGTTCATACTATTTCCTGACGTTATTATATTAGTGAATCTCATTGTTATGTCTTCTTGTTATATTATGATTTATTTATTTATTTATTTATTTATTCCAATATATATTTTTATAATATTTCTAATACTGAATTTTAAAATTAATAAAATTTAATTTATGTTTAATAATTCAAATTTTTAGTAAGTATGTAATTTAAAATGCACTCACATAAAAAAAAAACGTGTATAATTAGCTACGTTGCTGATATTATGCTGATTTTTAATACCAATAAGGTGTGTTAGAATGTGTTTAAAAAATTAACTATGGCATTGCTGTAAAAATAAAATAAAATCATGAGAAATTTGAGTTCAAAGACATTAATGTATTTTTAAGTTCACTCTGTAAACTAAACCAAAGTTAGTGATGAACTAACTGAGCTAAAGACTACTCATTTATTTTGAGTATTAATAATGACAAATAGTATTCTTTATACACATTGCATTAAATTACCACATAAATGAATATTCAAAATATTGCAAAAAAAAATACTGATTTATTTTGACACAAATATAATAAAATGTATATAAATAAAACATTAAGTATGCCATCTTATTACCCTACAAGTTTTCCCAATTTTATAAAGTAAGATGATGGCCAATACATTTTTTTTTTTTTTAATAAAACATTGATTAAAATATTTATATATTATTTAAAACACAACTACATAAACGTCATAAGTCAATTACAATTTTTTGCATTTATCAGTAATTACACATGTACCTTATAATATATTTTATTAATAAAGATTTTTAGATTTTAATATTTGCATGTACAAATTCACATTGAATATTTTGATATTTTTTTTATGAAATACAATACGTAAATCTAAAATAAATTTTGTTTGAATTACAGATTTATTAAAGAGGAGTGTAGTTAACAAGTTAGTAATGCTTATAATAACTCTTACAAATTATAGATAAAAACAATTTAAAAAAAAACTGTAATATAAAATATAAATGTATTAATATATTTTAGATTTAACAATACATCAACAATTACTTGGACTCAACATTAATAAATTATTACACCTAATATCATTAGCTCAATGATGGCAACTATCAAGCTCATCTTATGTAACAACCAATGTAAACATTTTTTTTCTTTAAACATTTTGAAGTTATTTTCCATTCAGTAACTTATTCATTCATTCATAGATTTCCAATAGTTAATTTATTAAATATTCAAACCAGGTAGTATTTAGTTAGAACAACATTTTTTAGTTAGTTAAAATTATTTTCAAGTGAGATAACGATTCATCAACAGTGTTAGTAACACACTATCGTTCACCTCATCATATTTCTTATCGGCTTCTTCAGCCAAGAAACGAGCTTCTTTAAGTTGGTTTTCCAATGCATCCATACGTTCTTCATCAGCCAAACTGCGGTTCTCCAACACCTTACGAGCACTGTATAAATCCCAAATGTTACTCCCTATTCATCGAATTATGCATTCACAACATTTATTTATAACCAGTACCACATGATTGTGTGCCTAACCTATTACCTTTTTTATTATTGTGATTTACCTATATTATACCGTACAAAGTCACGTCGTGTTTGTATTTATTAGGAACAAAAAGGAGTAAGAAGTTTTGGTTTTTAGTAAATAAAACCCACACTAAAGCTGTTATTTTACCTCCTCATATTTTTTGTCAGCCTCTTCGGCGATGAGTTTAGCTTGTGCCAATTGAGCTTCAAGTATGGCTACTCGATCATCTTCCATATTTGTTCGGTTCTCCAAAGCTTTACGAATCCTTTTAATTTATAAATTTCAAAACATCAAAGAGATGCACAAACACAGGTTATTATTAAATGGATAAGCATGCAAAACTAAATAGTTAATAATAATTAACTATCTTAGAACTGTCTAAGAGCCAAATAAGGTTAGTACATACTTATGTTCTAACATATTTTATTTTCTTATATTGAAAAGTATACTTTCCAAATGTATTTAAATTGAGGGGAAATAGTTAAGTGACAAACAGTTCCCCCTCATTGATTCTGAATATTAAAAAAAATATACATTTTTTGTAAATATATAAATAAATTTGGCAATTTTTTAAAAACGAAAACTTATTGCTTATGAAGCTTTTGTGGAGTTTATTAACAATTTTTAATATTAGGAGTATAAAATTAATTTCTTCCAAATTTGTAACCCTTTTATTTGTGGGTAAAATATGTTTAAGGAGATGCACTTTCCTTAAGAACTGAGCAGTTTTGAAGTCAACGTACATATTGTATACAATATTTAGGCACAGTCATTTTTAATAAAACCATTTTGACAACTTTAAAAATGTTTAAAATTCAATGTTCGAAAACTGATTTTCTTATAACATATGTACATGTCAAAATCTACAGTCTCAAAACTTTAATTTTGGGTAGATTTACATTTAGAATAAAACTGCTCATTTCTTACTCAAATATTATAATTTATTAGAAAAAACTTCGAGAAGGCCTTAAGTATCAAGTTTATATAATAAATATGTTTGAAGATGTTTAAGGAACGCTAACCCTTGTTTGCACAAAAAATGATGTGTAGTGTTCTTTTAATAAAATTACCACTATGATAAAACTATTTTGTTTTTATATTTGCAAGGAAGGGGGTTAACTGTTTTATTCTCACATTATAAATTATTTTTTCCATTCGCATTTATATTCTAATAATTTGAAATTTAATAAAACTATTGTATATAATTAGATAACTTTTTATAATTAGTTTATCAAAATCTCAATACAAACTGAACTATGTTTTAATTTGTCTTTGTGTTATTTGCCAAAAACTATCAAACACAAGTACAAAAATTTGAACACACAAAACATTTCAAAATTTAAAATAGGGCGTCATTTGAAGGATTTGAGATTTTGTTGTTGTCTTCATATTTTTATTTACTAATTGATAGTATTTATTTTCTTGTTATAGAATGGAGTAATTATTGATTCGTAAATTTATGTCACCCAATCTAACAATAATCCTAAGATCAATTGATACTTCACATACTAAAAAAAAAATTGTTTAAAAATGTTTAAGCTTTCATTTTTGTCTCTTTAAAGAAAATTGAAATGACGCCCTTAGAATAATAATAAATAATTAGTTTTATGACATTTATCATTTGGTCTTATAAAAACATTATTAAAGGTTATACTAGGTACATACAACACAACGTTAATAAATTAAATATAAATTCAACTCACTTACAATAGGTGCAATTTGAAGGGGCTTGGGTGTGCTTAACACCCCCATAATGTTTTACTTTTTTTTATATTAAGTTACATGGGATAGGCGCTTTGTAATTTGTTTGGTGATTAAGGCGCCTGACTTTTTTAAGCCAAATTGCACCCCTGATACTCTTTCAAGTATTATAGATTAAATACGACGTGACGGTACTTTAGTAGATGATTATATCAAATTCTATTGCCCAACTGTAATTATATCCATTAACCCACCAAATCAAATTCTATGAAAAATTCTTTATAGGTTTTGAACATTGTTTTTCATTAATGATTTTTTTATATAAATAAATTGCTGTCAAAGAACCTGAAATTGTGAAACCGCTGACAAAATGTCTAAAAAGACTTACCGCTCAGATTCGTCAGCCGCTTGAGATGCCTCGGCCAACTTTGCAGTGGCCGTGGCCAAGCGCTCTTCAGACCTTTCTAGGTCTTCTTCGAGCAATTGGATACGTCTATTAAGTGCAGCCACTTCACTTTCAGCCTGAAATATATAAAAAATTAAATTATTAGTATAAATTTAATGTGTAATATTATACTATTTTAATTACTCTATTAGGTATAATTGTACAATTCAAATTGTTTTTTTAAATATTTTACTGCAAGTTTATAGGATCATGGTATATGTACATATTTTTATTTTATATGTAAAAACAGATTGACAGGAAACCCAACCTAGGCCGTAACTTCCTGGATAAAGAGCAGATATTTTATACTTGACACATGGAGAGCCATTGTTGGGTAACAAAATATTTTATCGTGCCTAACCAACCTATTTACAACCTTGCATGATTGGTTTAATTTTAATTCACTGTGCTCCAGAGCCATTAAACAATCCCACTCCTATATTAAGGTATTCACTTTATTATTTTTATTCATGATAAACCCAAAATACAGATTTGACACCATATTTAGACACCATATTTAAAAGTTTATGAAGTAAAATATTGAATTACAGCTATACTTTTTTTACAACAGATCAACAGATGGTAAATAATTGAAAACAACAACTATAATTAATATAATAATATTTAACTTATTAACCATTATGAACATATTCATTCCAAAAATCAGTTAAGTTTATCATTTTGTTATTTTAATTGTTTGATTTAAATCATTATTTGGTAATAATTTGGTACTAGAATAATGATGAACAATTGTTTTTAAATTGGAATTTATTTTGTTTTTTGGTGTCGCACCAAAATAAGTTATAAGGTACGAAAATAATCATAGATCCATAAAATAATCCTAGATCCCTGCACTAGACCAATTCCTTCTAAAATACAATAAATTAAAACAAAATTGTTTTTTATTTTAACTTAACGCTCAAAAAAAAAACCCTTCCACTCAAAATTAAATTTAAGTTTGACGCTATTCTACAGGAACAGTAATTAAAACAATATGTTGGATATGGCCTTTGGTACAACTAGAGAAGGAAATCTAGAGAACTTTTACAAAGCACTTTAATAACTCGTATTTCGAAATTATAATTGTAATAAATTTATAAAAAAAAATACTATGCTAGTCTATTCTAGACTAATAGCTTTACAACTTGTAGGTAATTAAATTTTGGTATTTATCATAATAAGAGTATAACCGATTGAGGCATGGGTAAACAAATTATATAATTAAAAACTACCCAGTATACAGTAGTACTATGAATTAGTTCACTTTTCTAAATGTAATTTAACTTGTTGGTGATGGAAGGGAATAATGTTTAACAGTGCTACATTTCCAAGTATATACTACAAAAACTATTAAATTATTTTAAATTAATACGCAGCAAAAAATAATCTACATTTTATGCATTTTAAGTCATTACCAAGAAATATGTTTATATAAATATCTATGACCCGTATAATATGATGACAGCTTATTTTTTCATAAACATACATTTGATAATATTAAAAACCTTTTAAATTACTATATTTATAATAAACATAGAATAGGACATTGACCCCAATGTAGAGTTTCCAAAGATTTGAAATGGAAGAAATAAAAATTATGTTACTTGGATCATAAGGTACAGTTCATTCAGTAATGTTATCTCATCAGATAAAATTAAGTAAATGTACTAAATCTAAATGTCAAATTGTTAATAAAATGAATTATAAATTATATAGATACACAATTTCAAACACGGAACTATTATTACTTAACAGGTTTATTTACTAAAACTCTAGCATTTTAAGGATGTCAAAAAAGGTTTATTTACTAAAACTCTAGCATTTTAAGGATGTCAAAAAAGGTTTATTTACTAAAACTCTAGCATTTTAAGGATGTCAAAAAAGGTTTATTTACTAAAACTCTAGCATTTTAAGGATGTCAAAAAATATTTAAGTTAAAAAAAGTATCAGTATTAAATATCAGTTATTTATATTATATGCCAAGTTAAATATATGGCTTCAACTTAATTTAACATTCATTTTGATTACTGATTAACACATAATATGCTTTATTTGCCAAATATGATTTCATTTAACTTTCATGTTACATATAGTAAAACTATAGTTCCTAAGTTTCTTATTAGACTATAGATCATACTATAATATTGTTACTAAACGTATATAGAAAATACGAAGTTCAAGTACATCGTCATACTCAAATGTGTATACTGTTATTTTTATCAGAAACCCAATTTAACAATATAAAATTATTTCAATAAATTACATAAAATCAATTTTTTGTTTTTAATAAACTGCTATAGAAAGAATCAATAGCTATTAAAGGTACCCAGTTTGGATAGTGATGGCCTAGTTAGGTTCTCAACGATAGTCATTATCGCTTGGAACCGAAGGCAGGTAAGTTTAAGAATACACAAACTTTTGTTTAAAATACTTATACCTAACATAGAAAATGATATTATAATATTAAGTTACTATAAGAATAAGCAAGACGTACTTCTTCGCGCCTCATGACCTCCATTTGGAGTTTTTTATGGAAGTCCTCACACTCCTCCTTATACCTCTCCATCTCTTCCTTGGTTTGACGCATTTTTTTCTTCAACACGTCCAACAACGACCCTTGTTGTATGGTAGTCATGATTATTGTAAATAATATTATGAGTTAACACTTAGGCAAGAGGATACGCGGAACGAACGGTAACTAACAAACGCAAACCGCACCCTCGAGGATTTTCGACTTGAGCTCTACCTGGTAACGGGGAGAGAATTGGAAAAAAACACACTTGGTATCAGCTCAAGAGCACCTAAAAACGTTTACAGATCGCACAATGTTTCGTGGAAGCCACACATACACCACACTGCACACACACACTAGTCACTATAACACGAAACACCGAACCGAGCGTTCTGTAATCAACCGGCTAGGACCGAGGACGGTGGTTCGGACTACGGGCGAATACAATACCTATATAATACATAATATTATATTATACTTGTACGCCGCCGACGGGTCATACTCGCACATACATACGCTCAGCCGACAGAAACATACATTAAAGTGGCGCGGAGGAGGAAGAAGAGGAGGAGGAGGAGGTGATAGCCGGCAGTGAGGGGCGAGGGTCGGAGGCGGCCTTGCGGGCGACGTTGCCGGTTTTCGCGACCTGTCGAAGGAGGAGCGACGAGAGCGCGGTAATTTTGTTCGTATTTGGCGTTGACCGGCGGCACACGGCAAATAATAATAATAATAATAACAAATTCATTGGTTACATCCACGCCGGCATTAAACTGGTTTTACGCACGAACACGCCGATGGTGCGCGCGCCCCGTGTATGCGTCACGCGTCCGTGCGCGATTCCTCCTTCTCCTCCTCCCCTCTACAGGGTGAATGGTGACAAGAGTCCAGTCCATAGACGGCAATACTCAAACAATCAAAACACCGCTACACTATATTTATAATTACACTTCGCCCCCAAAATATCACGCATTAGGTCAGTATTGGCGGCGAATGGCGATATTTCGCAAGTCATTGTCTTATACATAGGTACATGGTTCATGCATCATACCATATTTGGTAAGGGTTACACGATCGTCCAATACAACAACGACTAACGGCAGCCTTTGGGCAAATGATATATTATGAACATGAAAGTCACAATTCACAAGTATAGAAATGACTCGAACGAAACACCATAAAATTAATAATAATTTAAATCTCAAGTATCAAGTCTGTTATCAGCAAAGGACTTTACGAGGCAATTGGGTACAACGGTAATCTATACCTATGTATAATATTATAGTACATCAGATTTTGTTGGAAATAAGTATTGAATACGTTAGGTCGTTTCATGATAATCGTACAACGAAACTAATTAAAAGGCAAAATCAATTATCGCCAATCATAGATACCAGCGTATTGTATCGTAATGGAATGTATCAAATATGCTTTTGTAATAAATTCCTCGCCAGAGAAGCAAACGAATAAAACAATGTATTTGAGTATCTATAAATTTAATTCATTGATTTATCTGTATTAATTTAAACATTTGAGAGCTGAGTTTTAACAATATTTATTAGGTAATATAATTTTAATGAATAATTGTTATATCCAGTTGTTTAGTTAGCACAACCCCTATGTAACACACATTAAACAATTCTCAAGTATCAACTAAATGTTTTTTTAACCGTTTCAATTATCGTTCTGCGTTCCGGACCTCATAAAACAAAATTAAGCGTAAATGTAACCTCAATTAACAGTACATTAAACATAATCTATCAGTAAAATGATCTGTATTATTATAATACGCCTCGAACTCATTAAATTGCAACTAGTAACTATAAAATTATATTTTTACGCATCATAATTAAGCAAACACGTTCTTAGTTCTTGCATGCAGTCAACACTGTATTTCAATTCTTACCCTACGAACTGGATAAACAAAATTTAAAATGACAATAATTAGAAATCAGAACTTTTAGGATGGAGAAGAACAACGGATATATCCCAGTATATTCGGGTCCTATACTTCTCTAGTACCCCAAGTGATACCTTATACACACTTTACTATATTGTTTATTATAAGTAACCCTAGTTGTTAGTTATATCGAGTTATAATTTAAATTTTTAACGCAAATCATTTTTAACAAACCCCGTCTCGCCCCTAGAGACTTTATTGAAGTTTTATAATATAAAATACTCTGAAAAGTTAATTTTACCCCGGACACCTAACTACTTAAAAACATTAAAGGTAGGTTTACTAAACCATATGACGTGTGGCTTTAGGCGGGGACAAACAAGCATATTGAAAACTATTTGAATTATAAAGGGAGTATGAATGATTTACAATTATTCAACACTCGGTGGTATAATGACCTCTGTATTGCCGAAAATTATTATGAATGTTGATGACTGTGCAACTAAACGCAGTCAACCCCGCATACAATCCGGAATGCAGCAGTGGAATCTAGTATCTACAATACATGTATGGTTGGCACCACGCCTAGAGTTTAATTATACGTGTTGACTGTATGATGGGCCAGTGGTTATCAAAATTCTTATAACAATTTGTCAAAAATACCCTAGGAACCGAAATGAATAATTGTAGAAAATTCCGAGAAACATACGATAGCTTAGGAGTTATCTCATAAAGAAAATGGCCGAGGAGAAACAGACCATACAGCCTGGATTGGTGGTGTTGAGAACCCGCGGTTCCACGTTGTGCGTTTCCATCTCCCACCTACGGAACAATCATCCGGCGCAGTCAGCTGTGTTGCGCTACAAATAGCCGACATGCCGCTCCGTCCGTCGACTTACCCGTCGCAGCTGCGGCTTGAGCACGTTGTGCAGCTCGTTCCTGATGATGCTAAACTTCATGCCCGTCTCGGTGCTGAATACAGAGCTGGACAGCGCCAGCCCAGGATAGTCGGGACATCGTTTCCGACGTCTTTTCTCGCGTTCGGCTATCACCTCGGCACTCTCGCTTGGACACCGCAGTTTGGCCAGCAGTTCAGTCTCGTCGCCAGCTCCGTCTTCGACACCGTCGCCATCGGTCCTCTCGCACTTGGGCGTGGGAAGAAGCAGCCTGGTTCTGTCTGCAGGTGGCCTGTACAGGCCGGGGCCCGCAGTCGTGGTCGTTGTTTCCGCTCCTATTACAATCCTTTGGGGTAGCGGCTGTTGTTGGTCTACCGGCGGCCGCCGGCCCCGGGCCCTAGGGCGCCGGTCGGTCCCGGCAGTCCGCCGGCCTCGTCCGCGGTCCATGGTAACCGCAATACAATACAGGAACAGCAGCGCTCTCACACGGTCGACGGCCTAGTGCCGGTGGCCGCAGTAAACGCTGTGCGTATGGTGTACGCGCCGCTTCGGTTCCGTGTCGTTTTGCTGGCTACTATTCAAAAAACGTACCAAGACGACTGGTGCCGTCTGGCCTGTTGATCTCCGTCCGTCTTTTTCCCTCTCTCCAATTCGTTAACGCCGTCGCCGCCGTAGTACTATTGAATCCCGTAATTGATAAGAACAACTGTGTTTTTTACTTAGGACTACTATAAAAATTAAAGTCGCACTCGACAGCTGCAGCTGTAGTCAGGCCTCGGTCAGGAAAACAATAGTGTTGACTGTTGTAATATGTATTTGTGTACAAAGTAATCGCATTATCATAAACCCGATTAGTTAGCGACTAACATAGAAATCGTTGTTATCGTTTTGAATGAAATTTAATACAAAAAGCAGTATGCTTATTATGCGCAACGGCATGTGATCATGATAATATTTCGCGTGCAAATAGACCGATGTAAAGCAACGTCACGTTGTTGGCACTGAACCATGACGTTCGACCAATATAATATTATTATTATATTATTATTGGCGCGTTGACAAAAAAGGTTAATTAATAAACAATATATCTAAGGCTTTGACAACGTACTAGATTATACATTATACAAACACCTAATACTATATTAGCAAGCGCTAATTCAGAATAGAAACGTAATACTATCAAATTACAATCTAATTATTATGCGATAACTTCATTGGAGTATTTTAGCGGTCAAAAAGCAACTTATAACATTGGTTAAATGCAAAAATAAAATATTTAATACCATATTGTTTAATTGCATCACTCTAACATAAAATGATGAATAGTCATTCATAACCTTTATAATGTAATATCTACCTAGTACATAATAAAATAATGATAGTAATCTAACACAAAAACAAAGATAAATACAATATAATGTAATACAACATTTACGAGTTTTTATATTTGTTAGCTTGGATGATTAAAATATGTATAGTATGTAGTATTGAGCAAAAGTAATTTAATGTAGAACAAACAGCAAGTATAATAATATTGTTGTTTATTATTTGTTACAATAATAACTGAAAAAAAAACTTTTTATAATTCAATAAATTATCTTTCGTAAATTAATAAACAAATCCATAAAAACAAATAGAACTATTTTATAAACAACACGGAAGAAAATATTATTACCAACTAACTGTACACCTTCAGCACTTGGGCAATGCAATTATTATTTGTATAAATGTGCTCACAGACCTTTCCGGTTCTGATAAAGTGTCAATGTGTCATTGTCATTATAAATTAGATAGGTAAGCCAGTAGTCAGACCACGGCCGCACTTGTACGAGGGTTTGTGACTATTTTACAAAATTAATTATGAAATATGATTTGTTAATAATTATTATATTAATAGGTATTGTCATAGAAAGCCTAGTTAAAAAAACATAACGTTGATCAAGGTTATGTAATACATCATCAATAGACAATATTATGTACCTAAAGGCTAAACTATAACCAATATTTATAATATATCCATAGAATAAAATATATGAAAGGAACGTGGGAATAATTGTAGTTAGTAGTAGTTAATTTATCAATGTATGAAATTTTTTTCAGATAAAAAATAAAGTAAGTTCGCGCGTATAAATATATGCGTGATGTGTCAACCGTCTTAAAACCGCTTGGCTGTACCTTTTTTTTACCAAATGAACATCAACAATATAAATCTCAATGTTCTATTGATTCATTGATTAAATACAAATTTGTACTTAATCAATGTTTGAATGGTACCATTATATCAAAATCGAAAAATTGATATTTTTATAATCGAATGTACCCGAAATTTGTATTAAAATGATGGGGACACGTGGAGAAAATCAGATGGTCAGATAGAAAAATGAAGAAGTTCTCACCAAGATCGCGTCGGGGAAGAAAAAAATATAAGTTGCAACAAAGAAAATGCGTTAAGAAATGTTTTACATTATGGTCCATGGGAAAGAACTGCACCACATAATAATTGAAGGAGCCATAGAAATATGAAAAACTACCGAATGACCAATAAATTCGTACGTACACAAATAGTGAATACATTTCACAACTGTAAAAGGATGCAACCTACAGGAGTTAATTACGTTGAACCATTGATTATACGAATTTATAATACATTTCTCGAAAGAACATAAAAAAACATTTTAAATTAGTTAACAATCCAT